ATAACTGTATTGCAGGAACGATGGATTTACTAACAAACATGCTAAACGATGTCCTAGCTGAACTCCAGAAATGGTGTGATAGGTATCTGATGATACCACATCCAGAAAAATGTAAAGCGATGATTGTGCAGCGGCAATCATCATTCATTGGTCCTATCCAAGCACTTCGTCTTGGCAACAACAATATAGATTGGACAATCTCGGAAAGACTCCTTGGAGTACAAGTCGATAACAAGTTATCTTTGTCAGATCATGCTGCAAATGTAGCAAAGTCCTTCGCGTCCAAGCTAAGTTTACTCCGGCGCATGCGGTTTCTCCCTCGAAAGCAAGTAGAAGACTTCTACACAAAGGTGATACTACCATCAGTCACATACGGTTTGATAGTGTGGGGATCGTGCAGCAAAACGCATTTAAACAACCTGGAGAAACTCCATGCAAGGGCTGAGAGAATTGTTTACGGATTGCCATGGGATACAAGCGCTGAAGATGTATTAACGCGAACTGGATGAGACAGTCTGGAAGCAATTTACAAAGTGCGACTAACAGAGTTTGTCTTCAAATGAACGAAGGGTTTCACCGTTACAGAATTCGAAAAACTTTTTACACAAAGGAAATCAGGCCGCAGAAGAAAGGATGACATTATTCTTCCCAGACCTGAAGCAAACTTTATCAGGAACTCCATAAGTTATAGAGGAGTAATTGCAAGGAATAGTTTAACGAACAAGGAAACAACGGCTAAAACCTTGAAAGATTTTAAACGCTCTCTTCGGAAATTTGACACAGATAAAATAAATTTTGAACCGATTTTAGCCATAACTAAAAACAGAGATACCGACTTCAAATATTTCTGATAGGTCTTAGCTTTTAAGTCTTAATTCTAAATTGTACATATGTCTAAGTATTTTATTTTTCCGTAACTATTGTTTGCACGACCCCACCAGCAATGCTGATTTTACTTATCGTGCTAAAATAAAGTTCTCACTCACTCACTCACTCAAAATTCCGTTTAGTGAGCTGAAAGTTTTCTTCGAGCGAACTTTCTTTGAACGTGAACACGTATTCTTCTGGAAGCAACCTGATTCCCAGAGTCTTCACTGTTGGTAGGGGGTCCTTGTTGATGCCTACCTCGGATGCTCTGTCCTCGATCGGTATCTTTTTTTAGAACCTGGGGTGAATTGGACAACCATTTACGAGCGTGCATTCCCGGCCTGCCTTGCTCCACAGCTTATCTAACTGCTTGAACAACTCCATACCGTGACTGTCGTCCAACACCGAGTCCATACTGTCATCCATATACGTTGACTTTAATACAGTCTCTGAAGCTAAGGGTAGCTCATCCTTGTACTTCTCGGCATGCGTTTGGGAGACAAATTGAGCTTGGAAAGGTGTTGAGTTAATTCCAAACACGACTCGGTTGAACTCGTACTCCTCTGGTTTTCTCTGCTGATCCAAGGATCTCAATAAGAACCGTTGAAATGATCGGTCCTTAGGTGCGCAACTTCAATTCTCAAATACATCTCAGCGATGTCACAAATGAGTGCAACAGGGCGTCTTCTGAATCGAAGTAAAACGTCGTTTAAATCTCTCTGCAATTTCGGTCCTTGATAAATGACGTCATTGAGGGAGATTCCTCCAAACTTCGCAGAGGCATCAAACACGATGCGCGTCTTTGTTGTGGTTCTGTCCAGTCTCACGACAGGAAAGTGTGGAAGGTACCATTTCCTCGCAGGTTTTTCTTCGGCTGGGTCGACTTTACGAATGTAGCCCTTCTCCAAATATTGACTGATGTTTTTCGAGTAGGCTGCTGTGATCTCTGGATTCTTCAGTAAACGTTTCTCCGTGTTGTACAATCTACAAAGCGCCATGTCATAATTGTTTGGTAGGTTAGAAACGTCTTGCTTCCATGGAAGTGCTGCTTGGTATCTTTTTTTTTTTGTGATTTCTTGGAGATACAGTGTTAGCTATGTTTAAGTCTCAGCCTTCTTCTTGGTTCTCCTTTTGCCGTTTCGTTCTCCTTTTATTTGCTTCAAGAATCTCCCAGTCTTATGATTTAGTTTCTTTACGATACAATCAAAGGCACTGAGATTCCTTAAGTTGATGAACGATCACTCGCAAGTTAGCTTAAAAAACTATAAACGACTTAATTCTTAACTCCCTTCCATCTTCCTCCATAAAACATTCCCGTCTATTTTCTGGCAAAAGTTATGATCGTCACCATCAACAAATGGTACAACCATATGAAGAAGTAAAGGTTGGACCTGGGTTTTTTGAGCTCTGAAAAAAGCTCCTGGCCCAAATTATGAACATTTTCCTCGGTCATTTTTGTTTTAGGGTTCAGGCTTCTTTCTTTTCACGCGCAAGCAACAAGTTTTCTCTCAAATTTGCGCGTCATCGATTGCGTGCCGGATAATAAACTGTAAGCTACTGATGCAGGTGACCGCATTTTTGAGGACTCTTTTGTAAATCACTTATCTGTAATGAAATTGATATCCTCAAAAAAGATCATTACCATCATTTCATAAATGAAGTTTTCCTGCCTATTGCTCATCCATGGCAACCATTGTTATATGATAAGACAAAGACTTCACTCGGAACAAGCTCGAACTTTAAACCGAGGATTTTCAATCCTTCAAGTTTATAACTTTTTGTCCTTTAATTCAGACACAACAACGCCCATACTTGGGAAAGACGTGTATATTTGATAAGCGGCTTCAGTAATGAGTGATTGCTACTTCTTATTGAAGAAAAGTAACACCGAATCTTAATGAAGGTTTCTTTTCGTACTAAAAGTTCCCAAAAAGCCTAGTTTTGGAAAGTAAAAGTTTACAACGTCTTGTTCAATTTCCCAAAGTATGACAATAAAGCTAGATTAACCCATCGGCAAGGAAAATCTGTTTTTCTATTTTAGCAAAGCCTACTCCAAGAACTGACTGCAAAATGACTGTTTTAGTCCGCCAACTTCGCTGAATTCAGCCTTTTTCTCTCTAAGGAGGGGGCATTGCAATTTTGGGTTTAGCGGTTTTGGCGATCATTTTCAGATCGGTTTTTCGGTTTTTGTACCAGAAAACTTCTGTTTTTCGTTTTTGTGTTCATTGAGATTTGCGGATTTTCATTCTTTTGGCTATTGGTTTTCGTCAAAAACAATCAAATGCATCCGATGGGATTTTTCGGTTTTTCCTATTTGAATTCCGGGTTCCCTTGGTGAGCGGCGTTATTATGCGCCTCCACTGATCTCAAATAGCCACAAAATCTCTGTATGTTCCTCCACTTGTCACCCCTGTATCGCATCGACTAGGGCTTTGATAACTGGGATGTGAAAATTTATCGGTTAAGACGGTTTTGCATGCAGTTTTCGGTTTTAAAACATAAGAGCGATATAGAGTTAAGAGAGAATCATGGGCCCATTACCCATAGTGGGCTCCTGAGAGAGTAATTACGATATACTTTAATGATGCTACTTAAAGTACTTATCACTTCCCTTCCCATAAATCATACTTACTCTGGATGTCCTCCCTTTTTGTGATGATTTTGACCACGATGCTCTATGCCTTGTTAAAGGCAGCGTGAGCTTTTCTTCATGACATTTGAGCGTCTTTCTTAATTGCGAAATGGAAAGTCTGTAAGTATTTGCTTAGATTGCTTAATCAAATTAAAATGTGCCAAGGCCTGGCCACAGAGCCCGAGCTTCACAGCCACCATCATGGTTTCGAAGTTGTAAACATGGAATTGGATGGGGATCAATTAGATAAGAATCACGACAAAAGTTACCAAATGGATCACGAAGAAGTAGAGGATTTGTTTAAGAAGCTCGACAAGAACAATGATGGAAGAATAGACCTAAACGAACTTGCGGAAGGACTGAAAACTCTGCATGGGTCAAGATACAAGGCCGGCCAAGCTCAGGTGGGTACAAATTAGAATAAAAACATCCAGAAATTAATTAAAAGTTCATGTTAAAAACGTTTTGTCCACAATCAAGTGGAAGCATCTATGTTTCTGCGTTATCCTCCTTTTTTGTCGTGTAAAGATTTATATTTATGAATTTCACCGATCTTAAATCTAATCTGAAGGTGAAATAGCGTTCACGAAATATTGGTTTGCAGTTGTTTCGGTTGAGATGCAAATTACTTGGCTCAATTTGAATATATTTTACCCGGTCTAAATTATAATGTTTGGTGAAAAGTGTATAATCAAGTAGTTTGCTTTTCAATTTTGTGCACTTTCCTTTAAATTGTACAACGATTCATTTTGGTCGTTTAGTGACGATTTATGGCAAACTATCAAACAGACCGGAAATTTACCCCAGCAATAGAAATAAATCTGTACGATCCTTGACTATTTCACGCTGGAATTCAAGTGAATTTGCATTTTACTTAATTTGCGGAAAAAGGCGTAACTATTATTGATTTTGTATAGTTCCCTGCACTTGTGCTTGTGCATTCCACTTCATCTAACATGAAGGAAAATTTACATTCACCTACTATGTACACAATTAATTAAGGTAAACATCTCTGAACCGTATGTCTTATTCTGGAAGATTATTCACACATTCCTAGAAGTGTTTCCTACTGAGATGTAAGTTTGTGAAAGGTAGTTCTGCTTCAGACTTACAATTTAAGACAAACACATCTGTCAGATCATATGCAATTTTGTTTCTACTTGATAGATATTTTGAATTTTCATATATACATATATACATACATACATACATACATACATACATACATACATACATTTATTTGGTAAAGCAGGTTAAGTTACATACAGTGGCAGCAAAAAGCTGATGTGGACCTGCCTAAAATAAATTAAATAAAAGTAGGATGATGTAAAATGTATAAATAAAAAACAAGTTAAAAATATACATAGTGATGGTGTTTATTAGCTATCATAGAAGCTCTAATCTGCTGCAATCTCTATCTGAGTGTAAGTGCGAGTAATTGTAGTGTCAGGGATGTAAAAATTCTTTCTGGAACACATTTCCAACTCTATTAAATGTCATAATTTATAGTTAACTGGGAATTACAGATGAATGCTCAAGTTCTCAGCTATTAAATTAAGTGGTTTTATGGTTTTATCTTGCAAGAATTCTTGTTATCCAAAAAACATATCTTTTAGGTTTTTGCCTTAGTCTCCTTTTTATTGGAGACAAAAATTAATTGATTACTTTGCAGAAAAATGTTAGAAGTTGTAGCACATAACAAAACGATGAAAGTTTGAACTTAAAGGTGATTGAAATGACATCTTGAAGTTCATAACAGACAGAAACAAAAACAACTACCAAGGTACAATTTAATCTGTTGCCAGGATATCTTTTATCTAATGTATTTCTTTTATTCTCCATTTAATAAATCCTCCTTTACTCAAAAAAACTTGATGGAAGTTTCTCTCTAAGCTGTTAACTTGGGTTGGAATCATATTTTCATCAAATTTTACTGTCAAAGCCTCTATGGACTATTTTTTTTGTATTGTTATGGTAAGCATCATCTTCTTTTTTATCTGTGTTGCCTACAATTAGGCAGAAAATAACCAATAAGTAGAAAATCTAAGAAAAAAACTGTTGGGACTGAACAAAAATTAAAGAAAATGGGAAAAAGTGTTAAAAAAAAACTTGTGGAACTATATATACAGACCACATGAGGGCTAAGCTAGTGTTGAGATCCAGTAGAATCCCTCGGTCACATTGAATGGAAACTATATAATTATGATATATTTAAGCCTATGCCAATATAAATCTCCAGTATAAAACTGTCTCCAGAATGATCAGCTGTAGCTTATTCCACTCAGATGTTTGCTCTGGAAAGATTGGGGTGTTGTGGACACTTGTATCACATGGAAAATAGATTGTACTCACCAGCAAACTGAATAAATTTAAAAAAAAAAACTTATCTGCTTTTAATTTAGTTACACCAGTCTAAGATAATATTCCTCTGGATACTAATTGTTGTCCTTTTTTTTCCTTTTTTCGTTTTTAATGCATTTCTTGGCCGTTAGATAATAAGGCTCATAGCACATTTTTTGATGTCCATTTCAGCAAATAATGAACCTTGGTGATCAGAATCTTGATGGGCAGATGTCATTTGAAGAGTTTGTCAAATATGTGACCGACCATCAGAAAAAACTGTGGATAGTTTTCCAGTCTATTGATCAAGATGGCAGTGGTAACTAATATCAATAAATTTATTGTTAATGTAAAGTGCCTACATGTAAAAGGGATAAGAATTTTTAAGGAAACAGAACTTTTTTTTATCTCATAAGAAATGAATGCTTTTTCTCCTAAAGCAGTCTATGTAATTCCTTCAGTCTTTACAACTTTCTTCTTACTTAAGATTCTGGTGCAGTGGAAAAAAAAATTAAGAAATCTGATTTTCTCTTTAGTATTGATGTATAATTTTGGGAGCTACATCACAATATTATAAGGCCTTTTTAGAGTAATAGAGAATTGTTCTTCAGCAGAAAGAAAGTTTAAAAGAATGTTTTTTGAGAGGGTTTAGCACACTGAAGGAAAGAAACAAAAATAGAACAGGGTGGTCAAGTGTTAACATGGACTGTAGTTGATGATCTTGAGACATTTACATTTGGGAAGGTGTTTAATATTTGGCTTTGGACATCAGAGAATTCTACCATGTAAAAAAAAAAAAAACAGCTAAATTTCAATGGCCGCAGATCTTTTTTCATTCAGACAAGAATATTCTCCTGTCAGTTTACACTTTTTTTCTGCTACAGCATTTCTTAATGAAAAGCCTGATTGAGGAGAAATTTTTCAATGTGCTGTAACTGTGATGCAACTCCTACGTATTAAGTGCAAAGGTATCATATTATTTATTACATATCTGAGGTAGTATATACACTATGATTGGTTGATTCACCAAACTGTATTTCACAGTACAGTGGGCCAAATTCAAGAGTTTGTTGAATTGAAATCCTGCCCCTCTATATTAACCCAGGTATCATACATATCTCACTAACTTTGTGTTCTCGGTCCACACTGTAAGTTACAGAACCATGTTTTTTTTTCTTTGCATGGATGTGTTGCTTGCACATTTCATGCTTGGGCTATAAATTCACTTTGGGAAAAGCTTGTTTCATAGCTTATAGTGCACACCTTGAACTCAGTTAGTGAGAGGTATGTATGTGGGGGTAAAGGTTTCATTAGACTTATTGTCTTCTGGCCAGGATGTGTGGATAAAACAGAACTTAAGAAAGCTTTTGAGGCTATGGATGTTAAAGTAACAGACCAGGAAGTGGACTTGTTATTGAAAAGGTAAAACATTTATTGACAGCATTGCTTAGTTTAGACACTAATTAAGATGTTATCCTTGAAATTATAATTGCTCACATTGGAAATTTCTCTTTGGTTTTTGGCTCAAAAGATGCACGGATAATTTCGAGTGAAGAAAGGTTGAATAACATTTTGTGATATTGAAATGAAAGATATTGACACTTGCCAAATCAAAATTTACTAGTCTGCCTACATTTTTTTTCAAGTTAGGGAAATACAAAAGTTGTCTCGAGCTCTAAAACTTAAGAGATGTGCTCTTGTTGTGGGAGGCACATAAGTAACATGCAGTCATGAAATGTAGTAGTCCAGGGGTTTTAATGCCTTCCTTTTTCTCTTTAACTCCCATGAGTGACCAAGACAGATTTTCTCCTTGCAGCAGAAATACAATGTCAAGCAGACAAGTGATGAAAATAAAGAAAAATATCAACTAGGGGATTATTAGTTGATCCTATACCAAATTCTCCAAACTTGTATCATAAGAATTGTCTAGCAGACACTAAGAAGAATTACTAAGAAGAACTTGGAAGTGAAAGGGATAAGCTACTGCCAATGGAGTACTAGGCAGCTGTACACTGAAAAGGGCCAAAAGGCTAAACACAAACACAAGAGCCTGCTCACAGGCAAAACAGACAACTGTAAAAGGTCTTGTATAAGCTGCAGTAAACTGCTAGTAACCCAGCTGGCAGCTTCTACTGAAACCCCTGTTGCCGAGATGAGGGTAGAGCTGAACATGGCTTTTGTCGGCAGATGCTGTGAGAAACATTTGAACCACTAGTCATTTAAAACAATCCTCTTCAGGTCTACTCTCACCTGAAAGATCATGCTGTACAGTATAGTCTTTATAGATCTTACTTTAGAAACACTTTGCCTTTTAAAATCATCAGCATGGACAAAGACAAAACCCTTAAAGTTAATTGGAAAGAATGGAGGGAATATCACCTGTTGAATCCCAGTGGCCACAGTATGCATGACATCATTCAGTTCTGGAGACATTCAAATGTAAGTTGATTGACCTTTTCATTTTCTCGGTCTTTACATTTACTCCCCTACATCTGACTGCTAGAAATTGTTGTTGTTTGCTTAGAGGTCTCATCCTATACTTTTGGTCTCTGTGACATTCTGTGAATTTTGTTGGTAGAAGAGTGTTGGTCATTCCTGTGAGTGACAAGGTTATGTTGGTTTAATTAGGTAATTTTGGTTGTATCAACTGAGTTGATAAAATGTAAACTGGCCACAATAACGAGTTTCAAAGCTGATGTTTTTAGCTTTATCCCTTTGTCAAAGTGAATGCTTTAAGTTTTGTAGACCCTACAGTTCATCGGTGTTTCAACCTTTACTGATAGAAGCAAACAAAAATGAATTTTTCCTTAGAAAATCAACAAAGCATCTGTGCTTGAACTTTTCCTAAATTGGTGTTAGACTCTCCTGAATGGTTCTTTTGTATGGCTTCTTTCTGCTGTAGATATTAATTATCATTTAATTATTAGTTTTTTTTTTTAATATGTCATTTATCTTTGATATCTGTAGGTTATTGATATTGGGGAGGATATGACTGTTCCAGATGAATTCACAGAGGAAGAAAAAGTGTCAGGAATGTGGTGGAGACAGCTAGTGGCAGGGGGGGGAGCAGGAGTTGGTGAGTGAAACCAGGGCTTGTCTAGACTAGGCCTTTGAGTCAAGGAATTTCCACTGAAAGTATTGAATTAATCATTAACCTTTAACCCCCATGAGTGACCCAGAAAGAACTTCTCCTTACAAGATCAATACAATATCAAGCAGAAAAGAAATGAGAATATGGAAAAAAAGAAAATCAGGGGATCATCAGTTGAGCCAACACCAAATTCTCCAAACTAACATCATAAGAATTGTCAGGCAGACAGTAAGGAGAATTTCTTATGAGATCTTGGCAGTGAAAGGGTTAAGGTAATAGGAGTAAAGGAATTGATGGCCAACTAAAGAAGCTCCCGATTGCTCAACAAATTCCCCTAGTCAGCACCAGGGGAAACACAGAGAGAACAGAATGGAGAATCTGCATACTGATGTTAGGGTGTACAGAGTCAACCCCTTAAATGCACCTTGGTTTGCTTGCAGTTAGCTCCATGCCAGCTAGCCCATAGTTGGTTTCAATTTATTTACCTGTTTTTTTTTTTTATTTTTGCAAGGATACTTTTCAGATTTCAACAAGCGAAGTGTTATTCCTCTTTTAAATTTATTTCATTCCAGTGTCAAGGACAGCGACTGCTCCTTTGGACAGATTAAAAGTTTTATTACAGGTAAATATCAAAGATTGAAGGGTTCATCCAGTTTAGGTGACACACCTGATTATATTTTTATCAGGGAGTGCTGGCCAGCAGAAATAATAATAGTCTGCTCACTACCCCTTCTAGATTTGCCCAGTAAGATCATTTTCCAACTAACTAGGGAGGGAAAGAACAATTAACGAATGCTTTGTAGAGGTGGCGAAAGGGTTTTTGTTTTTTTGCTTGATGGGGGATTAAGTGTTTTAATTTTCGTGACCTGTGAAAATATCAAATTAAAACTCTATGAATTGTGAACTTTTCACTTTTCGTGATACGTGAGCATTAAAGTTCTTTATCCGATTTTTGTGATGCGTTGTTTTTACTTCTTATCAAGACGTGTGCAGCCGCCCCACCCTTTACCCCCACCCCTACCCCTCCAATTGTACTTTCTCGTTTGTCACGATAAAAACAAGTCAAATGATGGTGGACAGACCATAGTGATAATTTTTTCCAGGTACAAGCTTCAAGCCAAAATAGAATAGGAATTTCGTCTGGTTTCTCCATGATGATCAAGGAAGGTGGAATCAAATCACTATGGAGAGGAAACGGTGCTAATGTGGTCAAAATTGCACCAGAATCAGCCATAAAATTCTTTGCTTATGAAAAGGTATGTTTCTGTTCTTAAAAGACACTGGTATGTTACATAACGTAACATAACATAACCGTTTATTCAGGAAGCTGCAACGCAAATATAAAAAGTACTGAAAAGGGAAAATCGTGAGGTTATGTATAAAAAGATCATTTATAAAAGATCCTGTATAAAACAATTTCCCTGACTAAAAACATACAAAAGATAAAATTTAATGGCTACAGATTCAATAAATATTCAATAAATAAAACAGACAATAATTCGGTGTGTACAATGTATCCTGGCAAGCTATTCCATTTCCCCACAATGCGAATGAGTGACTGGAATTGTATTTGCACTTACAGTATCCGTAGAAGAAGTGACTTGGAATAACATTTGACGATGCGTTGTTTATCATTTTGTATGTGAGCTGTGCGATGCAGATTATGTCGGCTATACGGCCCGACACCTTTTTCAACGTGTCGCTGAACACAAAAATTCGGCAATTGGCAAGCATTTTCATGAAGTGTTTGGTAGGAGGCGTGAATGATAGAGGCGTGAGTAGTCCAGTGGTCAGTGCGCTGGACTCTAGGTCAAACGGCCCGGGTTCAAGTCCTGGCTGGGGCTTAACGTTGTGTCCTTAAGCAAGACACTTCGCTCACATTGTTTCGTCTTCTCGGATAGGACGTAAAGCCGGAGGTCCCGTCTCTTAAAGGGTAAGGGGTAAAAGACGTTAATTTCCCACGCACGAGATTACTGTGTGCTGGATGTCTTCCCCTGGGGTGGGTTGGCTGGGAAAACAGCAGGTCCACATCAGCTTATACAGTTGCCAATAAATTCAACCTGCTTGAACAAATAAACATGATGATGATGATGATGATGATGATGATGATGATGATGATGATGATGATAGTCATTTTAAGATTCTGAGAAAGTGTCAAAGCAAATTTGATTGTTTAGTGTTTGAAATGCTTTATATTAAGAAATTCAAACCTAATCTGAACGTGCAAACGGACTCCATACTTGCTAAACTTTTTGTTTAAGCCGCAAATTATTTTCTCTTATTGTTCGTTTTTAGTATTTATAGAACTTATTTTTATACATTCTTGACTTGATAATGACGTTATGTTAACGTCGAAACGTCGTCGATTTTAGCTTTCTCTAGCTTTTTATCGGTTAGAGCGCGCCAGATTGTGTTGTGCGGAAGGTCGAGGGTTCGAGGCCCGGCCGGACCGATACTCATGATCTTAAAATAAGTGAGGAGAATTTGCTACCTTTTTATAATCAAGAAATGGATAGATATTCTAGTCTTCTCGGATAAGGACGAATAAACCGTAGGCCCCGTCTCCGGTTAGGGGTAGGAGACGTTAATTTCCCACGTACGAGATTACTGTGTGGTGGATGACCTCCACTGGGGTGGGATGGGTGGGAATTGACCCTGAAAAGCCCCTATGGGGAGTGGTCAAGTAACGTATGTATGTATGTATGTAAGCAACGTTTTGTCGCAAGTTTTTATCGTCAAACTTACAGTATCACTGTTGAATGAAACGAAAAGGCCATGAAACTAAGGGATCAACCACAAGACAAGCTTTTGATTGTTGAACGAATTCTCCATACCAGTACCATAAGAAATGTTTAGAGAACATCACGGAGAATATGTATGCCGATCTTAGGGTTTAGAGGGTGAACCAAATTTTGGAATAGTTCTTTGAGAATTTTTAAGTTTGTAAGGATTTGTAAGAATCCTCAAGGATCATACGTCTGGAGGGTCTTGAAGGATTCTCTAGGTCTTATTCAAGACATGCCAAAGGATCTTTATCTGTCATAATTGTCCTGACAGTTTTTAGGGCTTTGAAAACCTTCTAAAATAGTTCATGTTCCATCATTTGGTACAACGTCTGGTCCATGCTGGAATTGTTTTTTTTCTTCAGGCAAAGAAGCTGTTAGGCGCGGATGAAAAGCAGCTCGGGGTCAGAGAAAGGCTAATGGCAGGTTCAATGGCTGGTGTAGCCTCACAGACCAGTATATACCCACTTGAGGTACTTAAACCTGCCCGATCAGTGACTGAAACTTCTTGAGATAAGAGTAAAAATGAATTATGAAAATTTGTCAATAAATGACGAGAAATTTTCAAAAAAAAAGAGAGGAATCTTAGAATAGAAGGGTTAGGAAAAGCGTTGCTCTTTAGTGATTCTTTAGCCTTTCTTATTGATGCTTTTTAGAGATCAATAAGAATTTGGATTAAATAAAGTTTAGTATTAAATTAAGCAGTGCATGCCAAGTTTATATTTGAAACGCAATTCCAAGATATCAGTGCAAATGGTGCCTTTGGTAACCGACAGAACGATATTCCATTTTTAACACGGAACCACATCAAATACCCCAACATATGTGTTTCCATCCACAAAAAAAGAAAATTGAACAAAAACTTGAGGTATGATTCACTATGACTCTTTTACTGGCCAACTCCCTATTATTTGTGTTCTTGAGATGGCGGCCGTATGTTCGTGAGTTGTTCTTATAAAGGCCCTTATTCATTTATAGGTGCTGAAAACAAGACTGGCGCTTCGTAAGACAGGACAGTATAGGGGTCTTGTCCATGCGGCATATGTAATCTTTACTACTGAAGGAATCAGGAGTTTTTATCGTGGGCTGTTTCCAAGTCTTTTAGGAATTATTCCTTATGCTGGAATAGATCTTGCTGTATACGAGGTTCATCTTATTGTTCCTTTTTTACTCATTGCTTCCTTTGCATTCATTTACACTTTATACCCGCGCTACAATAGCGCCATCATTTTTCTGAGTTTTACATTAAGTTGAAACAGTCGAATAACCTTTTACTATCATTGTCTATTTTCCAGACACTCAAAAACTTTTACCTCAATTACCACAAAAACCAATCGGCCGACCCTGGTGTGTTTCTACTGTTAGCTTGTGGTACAGCGTCAAGCACGTGTGGACAGTTAGCCAGTTATCCGTTGTCACTAGTGAGGACTAAATTACAAGCACAAGGTACGAATCTACGTGCTGTTGCAATGCACTGACTTGAAAACAGTGACGCGAGTTGATAAAAGAGCGAAAGCAGAGAGCAGTAGTCAAACGCTGCGCATGCTCGAACGTTGGAATGACTTGGTAGCGTGCTTCGGGCTGTCAGCACTAAGTTGTCTCGCACGAGGAGCTCAAAACAAAGCTAAATCAACAGGATACTTGAATAAGCTTGCTCTTCGAGTAGTCTCGAGTTTTACTTTTCCTTGCTTTTGTTTCCTTAAATACAGAGTTCAATGAATGTTCCAATGTTCACTTGCTTATTTTGCGAGACAGCATTTGTTCGTATGTTTTCCTTTCAAATTTTGCGTGAGAGATTGACGCGCTGACGGCCAGATTTGATCCCCTCGCGCATGTCCGACTTTTGACCGCTGTTTCCATTTTAATGAGGTGAAGCCTCATAGCAGGCTCTCATTTGCGCTCCGGCCCAAGAGGCGATGCCCTCCGAGATTCTAACAGGCCGAAAACCACAGAAAAAAATGCTTGACATCACGGGCTTTGCCGCTGGTGCCGAAGCGCTTCCAAGAGTAATGGCCTTTTGGGTTGTGCGCTGGAGTCTTACTCCTAAGCTCTGGGCTGGAACTTGGCGGAAGTCGTTTTGTTTTGTGCCTGGAAAAGACACTCTCCTCCCCTAATGCGTCTTTCATCCCGCTAGTTTGCACTGCTACTGTGAGCTGTCTCGGAAGCTCGTGGATGTGCAGGGGAGTTACCAGCGATGGACTAGCATACCATCCAGTTAGAGCGGTACAGTACTGCTCCTTGTCGACTCATAACGTAGAAACAAGATAAACCCCGCCAGGTATCCCATGCGGTTTCGTTTAGAGATATTAGCAGTGACATATTTAGCCGGATAACTTCAAGTCACCATTTTCTAACATTTCTATGAAACGTCGTTTCTTTTCAGCGCGCTCTCGTACTGCAGGCAGGGGAGATACAATGGTTTCAGTAATTAAAAACATTATAAAAGAAGATGGACCGCGTGGACTTTATAGGGGACTGGCTCCTAACTTTATGAAAGTCGCACCTGCAGTCAGTATAAGCTACGTTGTGTACGAACACTTGAGAATCAACCTTGGCGTTATATAGCACACTCGACGATCTGATACGAGGCAAATGTATATCGAATGGGAGCACTGATGAAGAAAACGCGATACGAGAGTAAAAGAGAAGAAACCATGACGAAGAGAAAAGCTTGAAAATATAAGCGTTTTTCCTGTCCGTGATGGAATAGGAAGTCTGATAACCATTAAGACGGGGTATTCGATTTAATATAATTTCGCCAAATTTAATTTTAATTTTATGGATTAGGTTTACGTTTGAAGACATGCCGTCATTGTTAGTAGTTGTAAAGCTTGATATCAACATGTTTATTTTAATTTTTGACGAGGATAACCTGATTACCTTTCGAATGATTTTTAAAAGCTAGGGGACTGGATGACTTATCACTGCTATGTGGTGAGCGCAGGAAATGTCCCTTGTGAAAAATTTCGATCGGATTTCATTTTGTCACCTGATTGACTGACGATATTGCATCTTAATTCTGATTGGCTAAGGCAGAAAAAAGGAAGCTTGCAGATCACTCTGGCTAATTTTATTAGGGAACTGCTCATGCTGTTAATAGGGTATTCTTTTTTTCGATAACCTTTCCATGAGAGTAAAATATTATAAGATTATGCTTGGTCATAGGATATTGTTGTAAATATTTCTTATTTTAAGCTTTGTCCGGAAAGGTAAACTTTTCTATCTGATCTCTTGCTTGGGGGTGTTACTGCGAAATCATTTATTTGTTGTTTTTAATGTGAAGTAATTTTACCGGATGCGTGAAGTTCAGAAGTTTCCTGGAAGTGGCGTATGATTTCATCTCTCCTTATGATCTAACTGTGCTTCATCTTTCCTCTCCAATCTATCTTGTTTTCTCATTTTATTTCCCTCCCTTTCTTGCTTCTCATCTCATCTCTCATTATTGACTCTGGCTGGTCTACTCCAGACCACATCTCCTGATTTCAGTTTTGACTTTTCTGCCAGAATTTTTAATACTATAATTAATGACAAATATCTCTGCAAACCACTTGAATGTTCAGTTTAGGAAATCACACTTATCCTTGCTGTTTTTATGTAGTCACATCTTAAAAGGAAGTTATTATGTAATTTGATCGCTATTTAGCTTATGATGAACTTATTATATGGTACACCGGAACACACGGCTGTATTCTCTCGTTAAGTGATTTGCGAGAAAAGTCTTCATAATTAAAAGGGAAATAACATTTACTAACTGCTTGACAGTTGTGCCGCCATCATGTTTTGAGAGTATGAGAATGACGTCAATATTGTTAGCATAGATATGTAGTGTTACAGTCATGATTGATCTTCAGATGTCTTGAAAGAAGGGAGCAAACGCTCGCTTGGGCTATTTAAACTAGAATGAAGTTAACCTCAAGCAAAATGAAAAATCGCTTTAGTGCGGACTGTGTTATAGCTTGTTATGGTTGCATTCAATGTAATAACCTGTTTCATCTTCTTATCACTTTATTGTCATAATTGCAAATTCCTCATTCCATATATCTCTACTTAGTAGCCAATCCCTTGTTCAAATTTTCTCTCAGTAACTCGGAAGTAATTGTTATGTGAAATTCCGCAAGTGTGACTGTCATCAGTTTGATGGTTTTAAAAAAACTTCTTTAATGCGACCCAAGGAGATCTAGCGAGGAATGCCTCAATCTGACGAATGTTTGTTTACAAACATCAAAGGTTGCGTGACGATGACAACAATATTCGCTGATAACTTGCAAATGAGCACTCGGGGCCCTTCAACTGACAGTTCATCAAGCGTGACTGAAACGAACTTGCTGAGTCACTGCAGAAAGGAATAGTTACATAATTGCTCGATCATCAACCTTTCTGAAGACAGCAGCAAGTGACGGTAAACATGTTACTCCTGGAAGAGCTCCCAGGGTTTCTAACAGTGCTGATCAACCTGCACATGAGATTTGACTCGACCTACGTGCAGAAAGAACCCGTAAATTTCACTTCGCAGAATCCTGTCGGTGACTGCCCTGGATCACTCAACGGAGCGATGCGAGACCCAAACAAATGTCTTATCGTCGTCCAAGAATGGTGGGGCATGAACGAGCAGATCAAACAGCAAGCGCTAGATATAGCCGGTCTGGGCAATTTTACGACAGTGGTACCTGATTTATACAGGGGAGTAGTCACTGAGAACCCAACGGAAGCGATTCATATAGTAAGAAACTTGAATTATGCTGGTAAGTTAATTTATAATCAACGAGCACCATATTTGTACTAAAGCATTTATTTCGGGTTAGAAAGTAACGATTTACTGATGGGACATGCCATTTCTTCCATATATGATCGTGAGTGACTACCTGGTTTAGAAACTCATCAAATGCGCAATTTAAATATCCTTTTAGAGTCGCTCAGCTAAGCTGCGTAAATTACACGCGAGATTCGCGCGTGACAGTCAAAGGAGTTTCCTCTGAGTCGCTGACTCATTTTGCTTCATTTTGTAGTCTCCTTTGTCGATGGCAGTATCGCAAAATTCGACGACTTGACGTTATCTTATTCGAAAAACTTGACATTGAAAGAAGAGTGATGGCTTTTACGGCCAACGGTTAAAATTTAAGCTAATTTACGGCTAACAGTTAATATCTTTCCATTGTTGTCACCGGAAATTCTTTTGACGGTTAACTTTTTTTAAGACTAACGAGTAAAATTTGTCAATTTATTACGCCTAACGTTTAAATGTTTGGTCCTTTTACGGCTAACTGTTAACCCCCTAGAAACCATCTGAGAGGGGGGGCGGGGGGCGGGTGGGGGGATGAGTAACAAAACCCTAACGGGTTTGCAGCATTGGCCGAACGTTGATATCACGTTCTCATTCATTACACAGGTGCCGTTCAGGACATTAAGGGTGCTGCACAGTACCTTCTAAAACAAGGTTGCAAGAAAGTTGGCATTACTGGCTTCTGCATGGGAGGTGCCTTGTCACTCGCCGCCGCGGCCCTAGTGCCAGAAATCTCTGCCGCCGCACCGTTTTATGGCATTCCTGATCCTCAGCTCGCCAACGTGTCTACCATTAAAATACCGGTGCAGTGCCACTTCGGAAAATTAGACGTATCAAACACAACCAACATTATAGAATACACCAAGCTCAGGCAACAACTGGACGCGGGAGGCGTTAATTACGAGTTCTATGAATACGAAGCCGGCCATGCTTTCACCAATCCGCACAGTCGTAATTATAACGAATCCATAGCTAAGCTGTCAATTGGTCGAATGATTGACTTCATGAACAAATATTTGGGAGGTTCAGAAAAGTAGGGAGCGCCCTGTTAGAAAGGATCAACCATTCCTTCGCTAATTTATTCATGCTATTATAGGCACAGTAAGCAGCTTAAAGCACTGAGTTAGCGAGTATAAATAAGAGGCATACTGGGGGCGTAGTAGGTCGCGCACTGGGTTCGAATCAAGGCCAGGTGACTGTGTTACGTTCCCAGGCAACGCATTTCACTATTACTAACAACTCCTCCGTGCTCTCAGGAGTGTCAGTAAATTGATTACCGGCAGACTGTTCTGGAAATTCAATGAATTGGCGAGGATTTTGCCTACGATTGATTAGAATTCTGACTAGGTGGAGTTACATTTCTCCTTTTCGTTGCCTATTCCTTTAAAAGGCAGGATAACTCTTTGTAAAAACGAGGGAGTTAAATGTCTGAGAAAGGTTTTCTTCTTTTTTCACCGCTATAAAAGCACCACTGATTAGTTACTGTCATCACTGTGAATATTATTGCGTGTTTTCACTGTAATAAATTTATGCTGACCTGGATTATTGGTTTAAAAAACATTCAGAGCTTTGACCTCGTTAAGTGACGAAACCTGGACGACAACTACTAGCGCAAAGGTGAACTAATACTCTAGAACTGCGCTGTGTGGAACACAATGGTGTAAATACAAAAAATATACAAATACAATTTCATGTAATTGCACAACAACAAAAAAAACTTAAATAGACTTCCCTAAACTACTTCTACAAGTATATGACAGACTAACAAACCCAGGCGATTCTAAAAGACTTAAGTTAATTGAACATTTCCGCAAGTCAGCGATAATTTTATTTAGAAAACTAACATATCAACTATAAAATTGTGAAGGTAAGGTAGGTTGTAGCAATACTCTTTCACAAAAATCTTCATCTAACCTATTGAGTTCAAAGAAATTGCGGCACATGGAACGGTTCGGAATTCTGGTTGTTAGAAGCGGAGGCATGATTAGCGAGGCCTTGAAAACTTCAGCCTTTATTGTTAATATTTAATACTTATAATCCGCTTTAATCCTCTCCATCCTAAGCCATCCTTGCGTTCTCTTAGTTTACAACTGCCTCTTTGGTGTTTTCCTGTACTTTTGGAAGCTTTGCTCCGCGCAAAAGAATTCTCAAAATATCGCAAAGTCAGTCGTAACTTTCAAGCGGATACTCGATTAAAGAAATTACTTTTTGCACCCAATTAATTCGCCTGCTTAAAAACCTGACTAAGTTTTAACTGGATCTTGCTAATTCCAGTAGAACCTTGGGAATTGTTTGTTTGTTTGTAAAAGGCTTTATCTTGGAATCTGCCATTTGAAGCGAGTTATTTACAGATACAAATAAAAACTGGAAAGTTTATTTACAAATGAACACTAGAATCAAAAACGTTTTGGTGACATGGCCACTAACTTTGCACACGTAATGACTTCTTCGACACCATGGCATGGCGTTTTTGCAGCTCTTATCATTTATCGACGAGGTGCAAGTTACTTGTGGTCAAAGGTCGAACTTCATCGTCTTTCTCTTTTTTGCGGCCATACCTAGGAAAATTTATGATTACGAAGGTTAAATTGTTACATCTGAGCATAATAACCTCCGGTACTGATCAGGGGCGTAGCCAGCTTTTCGATTTGTTGCAGGCCTGTACCCTACTAAGTTGAGTTAAATTTTTGTTCTAAAATTTGCAAGAGTTGTTATTAAAGTCAAGCGGGCGGAGAAAAAAAAATTGTAGGCCCGAGCCTACAGGACTATAGGCTGGTTACACCTCTGCTGATAGAGAGCAATATAGCGAGAGCCGTCGTAGTCTACTTCAGAAACACTTTTTTGGTATGCCACGCAAATCTTTCTCAAGATTGTTGTACCGGTGACAGCCGAAAGAACGACTGTAAATGAGGCTAGAGCCCACCCCTCTTCCTCCTTCAGGGTTTGTCCTGCTCAAGTCCATACATTTACAATCCGTGATTTACCCATGTCATTTGAAAAGTATACATGACATTATGATAGCGAAGGCATTTTAAGATTCCAAAGAAAATTCTTATCTAATGTTTTCAAATGTGTTTGAGTCTTGCATTTTGTTTTGTTTAACAGCTTGGCCACTTGCCACTCAGGGAGACCGGCCCAGGGGAATGTCCGGGATAATATCCTTGGGAACCACCCCTGTTAAAAGCGCTCCTGTATGAGGTGGGTCTTGTATGACTGACCCCAGTTTGTGTCTGGTTAGGACGAGAACCATGCATGTGATCATGAGTCTTGAAAATGTTTAGGATAAGGGAATGCATCGCTTAAAGTAAAAATAAACAAAAAGTAATATCTCACCAGCATGTGACGCCTATGCACAGACCCGCTAAGAGTACGGCACCAGCAAACCCAGCAAAATACAAATACAATAGCATTGTCTTGCCAGATGTCCCAGAAAATTCTGTTGGCGTGATGAAGTCATAATGAAGCCGGGCCACACCAGTGATTTGATATCCTAACGCGGTGCTGAGGTTATTTCTATACTCAGGCTCTTGGACGATGGCAAACAACACATTCTTCGATAAAAATTTGTTTTCTCCTATTGAGACGAAAAACCCCACAAGAAGGTCTCCAGAACCGTGTGGGTCCTGCTTTGGAAATCCAGGAACTATGTACACTTGATAAGCACTTGTTTGTCGCCTGGCAGTTAAATCAGAAATCAGTTAAATCAGAAAGCAGTTAAATCAGAAGACAAAAAGCGACATGAGAGAAACTAACAAAATTCTCACTTTTCAACAAACGAAGTAGTATTCGGTCACCTCACCTACGCATAAATTTGCCTGCATCCTCAGTCAACTTACTTATGGTTGCCCCTAGCTGGTCAACTAGTTCATCTTCTTGGTTAACTCGCATACGACCAGGTGAACTTGGTACTGAGTTTGCACACAAATTCTAACTTGAATGGAAGAAATACGCTAATCAAGTCTGTTGTTGCTGGTGCGCAGTCGTCTAGTTTTCCAGATTCATGCCAACTTGTCTAAGGCAAATTGCTAACGATCTTATTCAGGTTTCGAGGCGCAACTTTGAATACTGATCAGTTATCCGCACCCTAATAACACAGCAAGGTTATCGGGCCGTGCACAAAAACGCCAGCTAGTCAGAGGTGTATAACTACTGTTGGCAACCTCGTTCCCAGGGCTTTTCCCTTTTTGAATACAATTGGCGGGCCGCCAAAATATTCAAAAAGGGAAAAGCCCTGGGAACGAGGTTATACTGTTGGAATGCAGTGAAAGTATCCAACTGAACCGAAAGTTAAGACTTAATCATCCTCTTACCTCTTTCGACTTGATTCGTCACATTTTTGCGATGAATTCGAGCAGTAGCTTTCCACAACTTTCTCCACAGTAGCAGTAAAATGATCTCTTCTTTCTTCGAACTACAAGAACGCAATGTCAATCTAAACCATTTACAGGTGTCTGTAAACTTTAATAAAATGTTCTCCATACATTTCCAAAGGTGCTGACGAGGAGAATTTGTTTAACAATCAAGAGCTTCTTTAGTTAGCGACATATTCTTTATTCTTGTGACCCTACTGTTTGATTCAGCAGGGGTGATATACACCGTCCGTTTGGAAATCACTGCGCGGTCCGGGCCGAGTGAGAGAAAACAATGGGATCCAAGATAGCGTCGAACAATGGGATCAAACGGACGGTGTATACTACTACTAGTCACTCTTAAAAGCTGGGGGATACGAGTTCACCAGTATGATTTTACCACAAGAAGCCATTTTTTGGGTTGAAATGAAATGAAATGAAATGAATGCATCGAATCCCAGAATGGATTTGGCGTCACGATGTTTCTGTTGTTCTGATTGGCGGTTACGATACCATTGGTTTTAATTTAACGACAGTCGAAATTTACTCTGAAGAAAGTTAATAACAAGGCAAAAAATTGTGTGATATTTTTAGTTCTCCCTTTTTTTTCTATGACAGTTAATTCACCGCTGACCTTAGCTGATGTCAGATCCGATACATATAACACCACTGCCTCTTGTTCTCCCCCAGCTGGTGGCTGTGCTGTGGTAGGGTTGGTCACAGTTGGTTGTGCTGTGGTTGCGTTGGTCACAGTTGGTTGTGCTGTGGTTGCGTTGGTCACAGGTCGCGCGGACGTTGTGGTTGCGGAAAATGTCGAAGACGGTGTTATGCTAATTAAGGCAACTGTAAATAGAGAAAAAAACGAATCCACCTCTCTCTAGCGATAATTATATTCATCTCCTATTACAGAAACTGACCAGAGGTGGGAAACAGTTTAGTAGGCTGTCACTATCTCTGACTCCTTGAGCTAGAAACATCTTATTTGTTGGTTGCTATCCTATGCCATACGACTGAAGTTTAATTTTTCTTGCATTTGAACAAAGAAGAATTGTGTACCTGATGAAGTGGCTATGGGTACCACTACTGATACTGTGGAATATAGCGCTGTTGAAAAAGCAAACATATGAAACACATTTTAAATGCTTTTACTGAAACCAAGAGATTCTCTTCTTAAACTTATGTTTCTAAAACACCATGTTGGAAAATAAATAGTTTTATTTGAGCTTAGGTGGACTACAGATGGATCACAAAAAACCCCTTTTTTTTTAACAGATATAATGCTGGTTCATTTTCTTGGACAATAGAGACAATTATTACTGTTTAAAAGCTTAGCCTCTTCAATAACCATAATAAAATCAACGAAAGACTTTGGCATATCTCGGGTTAATATTAATTACCCGGAGCTAAGTTGCCTGTCCGTCACTTCTAGGGTAAATATTGGTCCTATCCATAGATATTTGGTATAACATTAGAAATATCGCCTACGTGTAATTCTCTGGTTTAATAACCTACCTCCGCTGAATCAAACAAGTTTAAAATTACGGAGTTTTGCAGATATGTTCCACATTTTCGTTTGTCTCCTTTTTTTATGTACCACAAGTGAGAGCTAGCTACAGCTGAATCGGGGAATTGTTACAACTACCAGAAGTTTATTTACTCTGTGAATAGCAATGCACTTGTGACAATGGGTTTCTAAGACATATCACCTTGCTACATTTAATGCAGTTTTCTACAAGAACATCTCCCTGAATATCTTTAATTTGTATAAAGAAATGATTCTCCGAGTTCAAGATCCACAAATAATCTGGTGTGCACTTCTCTGTCGGTAGCAGTTATCCCGTTGTATTATGAACACATACTAATTCAAGTTACTTTGGTTGGTGAACGTAAACTACTGTGTATCGAATAACTTACATGTTCGAGACCGACTTTGATAAACCGGAATGGGTAAATACGTAAAGCGATCATCTCGAAAGAATTTTAGTACAATCTTTTGCCATGACAACGCCGAATTTCCTCCGAGGGTTTAAGGAACTTCAGTCTATGGAGGGGTGGAAAAAGCAAACAAAGTTTACGAATTACCGTGCGGAAACAACCCCGAAAAACTACTCCAGAAACTCTTAATTCAATTATCGCTCTCCGTGGTGACTTGACACCAAGGGAAGAAGACAGAAGTAAAATACGTTTTTCTCACATTTCGGAGCATACTAAATTGATAAACGCTTCCTGATTGCGGCAAGCGTGAAGGATGAAGGGCGATTGTAAAGAACAGGATCGGGAGTGAAGATTCTGTTACAATAATGCTTATCAAAGCAATGCGAAAAATATAACAAAGATCTCATCGTTTCAAAGTTTACACTCGAATACATGTGTATTTGATATCAAACTGCCAGCTTTCTGAGATTAAGCGCACACTTATTCAACCAATTGAACCGTGTGTGGATTTTTACTCACCCGTAGAGCGTGTAGAGTTGGTTGCTGCCTCTGATTGATCAGAAATGAAGAACAAGGCAGTTTGAAAGACAAAAAATCTCCCAAAGCGAAACATCACTGCTGTTAAACACGAGAATTAGCTAAAACTGTATCGGTGGCCAACATCGAAAGCCGTCTAAAACGAAATGGAAACACGATACGAGAGTATGTCAACTTGGATTTTCAGTAATGCACGTCACTTACCAATTCTAGAAGGAACTGTATGTCACGCAATGTGAAGTACCAAAAAGTAAACAAATCAGCGCCTCAAAAAAAAAAAACAAAAACAAAAACAAAACAAAACAAAACAAAAAACAAAAAACAAAACAAAATGAAACAAACGATCAAACAAGGCTCTTCAGAGCTCTGTGACTGGTTTGGAAAAGATGCAGAAATGAAAATATCACAGTTTTAATACCGTGATATCTAGGTGCTGCGATACCAAGGAATTTATATTTAGACGTTTTAGCATGCTCTTTTTTCATACTGTTCAATATTCAGCGTTGACAGGAATGTCTTAATTACCCATGTTGCTGTAGCTGCTATCGTTGTTGCTGCTGTAAAATTGTTTCTGTTGTTTGTCTGTTTACGACTTATCGTAATGCGGGAAATTTCCTCGTTCCTGCTCTCTTCCTTAGACGAAGTTCGTATCTAAGAACATCTCTCAGACCTCTGGTAAGTTGGCGGATGAGCTGTTTTGTGGAAAAATTTAATGAAAATCGTTAATTATGCCAGGAAGTTACGATTTCTTCGGATTAAGCAGTGCTATCATTTTTCATCAGTAGTAATTTTCTTGATCTCCATGATTTTTAGACATTTCCTTTTCTTGAGTCATACATACTCAGCGGTTTCACAATCAAATTTACTTCGACAGGAACAAAGATGGCGTTGGATTTGAGCGTAGCACGCCGACAACTTTCAGAGGCTCTTGGGGACTACTCTCAAACGTAAGAAAAATTTTTTCTGTAACTCTTGAAACTAAACAATAAATAAAACTTCTTATGCCCTATTCCTATTTCTCCAAGGTACTGGAACAACATGAAGCTTTGGTATAAACAAAAGGCAAGTAGCTTTGAACTTTCACATCTACCCTCTCATGTTGTGTGGCTGTCAAGAGTGGCAATATTATCCTCTGACAGAAAGCCACAAGGTCTATCACTGAATTAAAACGTTTTTCTATTTTTCACTTTTTCTCAGCTTTGCGAATGAAGACAGTGATGGCGAACCGTTGGCTAGTCGCGTAAAACGTGAAGTTTTATTAATTATGCTCACCCCTTGTCAATTTAGAACGCAAATCAGGTTAAAAAGGATATGAGGACGAAATATTCATGACAAGGCGATTAACCTGACCCCATCGAAGAGAGAAATTTGCTTTTTTATGAGGACTTTTTATGATATACGTCAGAGGGTAGAGAGGAAAGATCCTACTATCAGCTCCCCTCCTTAAACCCAGATTCATTGACCCCCCTCCCCTCTGAATCTCCTCGGACTCACTGTGACTGCTACATTATTCTTGACACCTGACAACCTGGTGTAAACGATAAATAATCTCTTTTTGATTATCACATATTAAATGATGTTTTCCTACTGTGATTTTGTTTTACACAGATTTCCAAAGAGGATTTTGATGCACAAGCAAAGAAATGTCTTGGAAATGATAATCGTAAGTCAATGATGTGATACTTAATAAATAATTAAGATCATGTCCTTGCCAGTTTCATGAAAGTACTGTTTCAAACCAAATCGAATTAGTGTCACTTCTGAGAAATTGTTTTAATGAATTCTTTGCAGTGTTTTTCCATGTTCTAAATACTTTAGAATATTTAACTCTTTAACCCATTAATGGCCGCAGCTTTTGTGGAAAACTGTGTTTTGAAGCTAGTCGAGCAGATTTTGGGTCACTGTTGTGGTTTTAAAAGCTCAAACTTACCAAAAACCCCTTGACAGCTCATACACTCGACGGCCTTTCGATCCAAATGCAAAATGGTGGCCTGAAAATCTCGGGCACGCACAGAAAGCAAAATTTCGACAGTGTTTGGGTTGAAAAGTAATGCCCCACTTACGACTTTTACTTTTCTCTCTTTCTCCTGCCCTTTTTTTCCCCTCTCCTTGCCTGAAGTTTCTCCTCACTTGCTGGAAATTTAGTAGGCTTCATTGTGGTGTAGAGATTTTTCAGAAACTACTCATTATTTTCAAACCACATGCTCAGAAAGGTAGGTGGGTAATGGAACAAGATTTTTGTGCAGATTTTCAGGTCAAAGTAACATGGTTTTTTGGCTATTTCTCCAATCTCCTTCACTCAATTGCGCTCATTCTGGTATCGTTTGTAAGATATTTTCAACCTGTTCAAGTACGTGCTCAAAGTCGTGCTCCAGGGTTAAAAGTGATGACGTCACAAGGCGTAGAAAGGGTGTGGGTCTCCATGGCGCATACGGGCGCACTGGACGTCATTAGGTTAATCATGTAATTCTATTACATGGAAAAAATTGTGGGGAATGTATCACGTGTTATACCCAACCTGAATTGATATGGTCTCTGAAAATTCAGCAAATGGGGGAAAAAGAACTTCATGGCATGAATCTGTGTTGAGCATATCAATCATTATTCTTTCTTTCTTTCCTCTTTTGTAGTTCATTTCCATAATGAATTTCTTCTAGCCATTTTGGCAAAATGTCAAGCCCTTGGATCTTCTCCAGGTGTGTTACTGAAAGTTAAGACTTGGTAAATGATTCTATCAGGGTGAAATTACCATTCAAATTTATCATGTCATCTTGCTATACAAATTAATTGAATCAAGATAATTTCCTTCCTGTCTTGTAGCACCTCATCCAAAAACTCCACAGAAGTTACCTCCCAAACCACAGCTGATTAAGAAAGGAAAAATAAAAAAGCAAAAGAAAGTATTAAGAGCCAGTTTTGAGGTACAGGAAAATACATTTGATGACAATAGTCTTTGTTTAGAATTATGTGCATCATTGGTCAGAAAGAAATGTCATTTCTCATTTTTCATTTTGCTTTTCCTGTCCATTCTCCTTTTCATTATACAGTGCAATACTTGTAATGAACAGTCAATTCAATATATTTTGATTGATCTATGATTTTTGTTCTAATTACCAGCAAAGATTTGTTCCTTGTGACCCACTACAGAGTGCACCACAGCTGTCTCTTAAGGTTCGTTGAAACATATCTACATCATCATCTTAGGTCCTGTTGATATATTTCTGTTAGTGACAGAAATAGAATTACTGATTATTATTTCATGTGAGAGTGAAATTCAAACAAATTAAAACTTAGACATAGAATGCATTGTTTTACCTGGTTTCTCTGTGTTCTCAAAATATTGAAAAAAAAAAAAAAACAAACGAAAACAAGGAAATTTCCTCAGACATTTCACAGATTCTCCACTACATTTGTAAAGATGAAGGTAACATTTCAACTAGTATAAATTATGCAATTGAGTTAAATAAGTAAAAAATTAAAGAGTAAGTTTGTTCTAATTGTTTTTCTGGGAGTTCAATGGATTCATTTCCAATTTACAATATGTGCACATGTGCTTAATTCACACTTTTTATATTAATCCAACCACTTGTTTTGACTTGTTTTTTTTTTTTTTTTATGCTTTCTCCCTTGACTGATGGTATTGCAATTTCCCATATGTAGGGTAAGTGCCACTTATAATGATAAAAACTATCATAGCAAATACTGTATCGACTGGTTTAAAACATCACAAGATTTGCTTTAGAAATTATGAAAAGTCAATGTCGATTATAGCTAAATGTAGTTCTGGCTGGAGATGTGGTTGTCAGGATGCAGATATCAGGGTTAGCACTCTCCCTGGGCCTAATACTTGGTGATGTTTGGCAGGACACTTAAGTCTCCCAATGCCTTTCCTCATCCAGGAGTGCAAATGATGTTTCACCTTCTCATATCAGGGTTCTTCTCCCTTTTAAGTGTTCTCCTCTCCAGTCTGTAAGCAGTAAAATTTACTGCCCATAGAACCTCTTTTGCTGCTTAGAATTGATTGAAATTTTTGAAAATTCAACAGATAAAAGATTACTCTACCATTTTAAAAATTTATTTTACCTGTGGTGCTTAGAGTAGGGGAGAACCCTGTCTAATATAACATCATTGTGATCCATACACAACAATTTGGTTGGTCACAATTGTGAAAAGAAAAAAAAAATGTTGTAAATATTGTGCAGTATGATATGGGTGTCTTAGAGTACAAACATGTACATTAGTCCCAGAAAACTACTCTCAAATCAAAAGGATAATTAGCAGAAACTCTGAGAGGGAATTGTGGGTTATGAGACTCGTTGAACCTTTTTCGTTCATGTCACGTGCTGTATTTATTTCATGCTACTCTTTATCATTTTATGTTTTCACAGAGCTTTCAGAAGACAGCGAAATTGGTCTTTGTTCATATGACATGATGTTACCAGACTCTGCCACCGTCTATGGCAGATTGTTTCTTGGTGCTTGGGATGCTGGGTTGGATAGTGTAGCAGATGAAACAGTGAACCTTATGCTTCACGCCACAGAGGTAGTGGAATGTTACCATAAATTTTTCCCAGTGTTGTAGGTCAAAGATTGAGTGAAGTTCTAGTCAGAAGTTTGGTTTGTAAGCGCCCAATGTTCTTGTCCATCTTTTTACTTTGTTTCCTCATTCTTTGACCCTTTTCCGGCACCCTCAGATCAATATTTATCTTCTCCATACTGTTCTCTCTATATTTCTCATGGCACTGACAAGGAGAAATTATTTGACTTAAGTTGATGATCACTTCCTTAATTCTCATGAATTCTATGTTTGATTTAGCAGTGGTATTGTAGGGAGAAATTAGATGCTGGTCACTCTCAGGGACTGAAGGGTTAATCCTTTCACTCCCAAGATCTGGTCGATTCTCCTTACTGCCTGCCATACAATTCTTATGATGTTAGTTTGGAGAATTTTATATTGGATCAATCTAAATCCCCTAATTTATATTTTTCTCTATTCTCAGTACTTGTCTGCTTGACATTGTATAGATATTGTAAGGAGAAATTCTGTTCTGGTCACTCAGAGGCTAAAAGGTTAAGTGAATGGTTGAATTTCAGAGAAGCTGTGTTATTGGTGTGCATTGCTATTATTAGAGAACATTCCTATTGGATGCCTTAAAGGAAAAGCCAATGAAAGTAAACACTGTTGGTGATCACTTGATGGAGAATGTCACATGGAAGTTATTAGAACAAAAGAGGTGCTTAAAATGCATCAAGTTTGGAATAGCACATGCTCAAGCTGAAACTGATTTTAGTTTTGCATCTGATTGCCTCTCCGTTGAAAATTGTTCAACCTGTGAGGTCCTACAATTTAAATATTTCTACCTTGCTGTGGACATCACCAACTCGGGCACCCCACCGCCTTCCCCCCCCCATGTGGATATTCTCCAACCGCTTATACCTTTTTAAATTAGATGAGTGTTATTCCTTTCTTTTATCTCTCTTCAGTATCTAGTGAAAGATATATTGACGGTTTGCTGCTCAATGAGAAGTACATTTAGACTCAGGGATGGACATTTTCGTTATTCCATGGGTGGGACCTACCCCAGAATGCACCTTAGAAACAGTACCAGTCCCTGGCCACCAGGTGCTGAAAGGTAAACGTTCTAAATTGTTTCAATCTTCCACTACTATGTTCATTATGTTAAAATTTTGCGCAGGTCATGGCATGACGGCTCGCGAGGTTTTGTAAATTTGAACCTCCAATTAAAAGAAAACTTCGATCAAAATTTTTATTTCTTTAATGGAATTATTACCGTTTCATGTGCAAAATTGACCAATACCCAACTTGGGCGAGGAAGCAAACACATTTGTTACATAAAGCCGACGAATGAAGACTGAAGTTTTTTTTTTTTTCGTGGAAGGAGAGGTAAAAGTAGAACAACACCAGAAGATTTTTAACCCGATACTAAACCGTATTCACAATCATTTCTAACGAAGTTCAGGGCGAGTCAACTTCCCGGCGGTAAGGGCTGCAGCGATGATATGCCCAGAGTTTCAACTCAGGTTTATCAATCCCAAGACTAGTGCGCTGACCATGGAGACCAACGTCTCTCCTGTAATACGCAAAACACGCCATTGAGCGCGAGCGTATCCTATCGGAAAAAGCGCGCGCTTCGTCAACAAAGAAAAGATGTCCATTGTTACGTCAGTTGCAGCAAACTTAGCGTACGCGAAGTAGACAACTTTCTATCAGTAACTTCAAGTTGCCAGTTTTGTTACATTACAAGCTATTTGAGCAAGTTTCCACTGCGAAAAATGGCTTCGACTTTGCGGAATCTGTCTGGTAAACAAGGAAGACTTGTTGATAAATGTGAAAGAGAATTCTTTGAACTCAAGCAACACGCAGAAAAGTACTTTCAAGACTTAGAGTCAGTCGAGGAGATATGCCAGCGGGCAAAACAAGACGTTGAAAGAATTCAACTGAAAGCCCAAGCCAAAAAAGAGATAGCAAAAAGAGATGCCGTCTTTCAAGCCAACTTCCATTCTGCCGTCCAAGAAATGACAGATAAACTGAAAAGAATGGAAATCAGAGAAGAGGCAAGCCCGCAATACGAGAAGATGCCTGAGTCGGCCAGAAACGCTGAGCGGAGCACATTAACTGGTCGCGTCTTTCGCTGTGTCAAGATTAGCTGTGCCTTGGTGTTTGATGCAGTTGCTGCGTACGGACTGTTTAAGTTAACGCAACCATACTTCTAAGTCTTGGAGCCGGGTTGGGGGGAGGTGCTAACCTGAAGGAAAGGAACTGAGACAAGCAATCTGGGAGTTTATGTTCCTCTACTCGAGAAAATGGTTTTTATGACTCCTAGACACCAAGATTTTTTTCACGAAGAAAGAAAATCGACACAAGTGAGATGAAGATAACAACTGAACTTTACGAAGTTTTCACAAAAAAACATTTTAAACTGTTGATTTTTGTTTACAGCGAAGAGATTTAACTCTTAACCTTAAAAGCTTCATGTTATTTATTAAAAAAATGATATTTTGCTGTAATCGACTTTTGAAGAGTTAACGAACCAATCAGTATGTATTAAGAAATAAATAATTCTTAACCTATCCAACGATGGAATTTGTTTTGTTTTTTGAGCCCACGCTCAGCTCCCCGGCTTTTGATTAGCGGAAATAAGCGAAACAGCGTGCGCGAGAGACGGGGGATTGGCATGGGGTCAGGGAGAGAAAAACTTCGCTTTGGAATCGACTACGAACAGAACAGAGTACAGAACAGAACGGTAAAAGTCGAGTCTGGAAAATGGTAATAATCTTACCCGGCGAACAGGTACTCTAAAGAGTGGGTTTTTGCACCGCGTTTACGTTAAATGTGAACGGCAAGAGTGACCACGTGACCTTGTTTTTCCCGCCATTTTTTCATGTTTGCTGGTTGCGCTTTGCCGTTTCTACGTGAAAGTAAGCTGTTTCGCGTTTGCCGTGTATGTAAGGTTTTCACTTTTTCTCTCACAAAGTAAAAGTTAAATTGCTGGAAAAAGGGCACCAAAGGGGCCTTCAAATTCACCATTACGTGAACTCTCGCGAAGCTAAAGCAGCAAGGTTCACGCTATTTTACGTGAAACTTAAAAGAACAAGCTGACGTTTGCCGTTTCACGTAAGCGCAGTGCTTTCTTTTGGCGAGGGCTACAAGACTTGCGCTGGTGAGCGAATCGAGCGTGCGAGAGATTTGTGAGGGGTCTGGCACGACTTTCGAGCCCAAACCCTTGCAGACGCCTGTCAGGCTTATCGCTCGCTCCATGAAAACACTGATGACAGCCTGCTTTTAGACTTTGGTGGCTGATAAAAAAATTGCTTCGCGTATTGTGGTCTGTTGCTGCTAGTCTTGTCTGGAAACTAGTTTCGACTCACCCGTATATTTACCTTGTGTTGGTTCAGATCTTTAGGTTGTATCAATGGCACTGCCAGCAGTAGTAACAACAGTGGTAGAACGTTGGAGCAAGCCGAAGCTGAGGCGGCGGTCACAGTGGCTAGCAGTGATAGTGCGGGTACAGCTAAACCTCCGATTTCCCTAATGGATCTAAGGGATGCTCTCCAGGTGGGTTGGAGATTTAGTTATGTCTTTAATTACCCGTGGACCTTCACGGAAGTGCGTTCCCTGATCATGTCAATCAGACAAAAATAGTCGTGGTGCAAAATATAGAGCGAAAACGTCTGTGGGTCTTACTCTCGCCCATAACTTCAGTTGGTGGCCTCTTCCCGTTTCTTGACCTCTCTTTGCGGGAGGGGGACATATTCTTTCTCCTCCCGCATCCGCCAACGATCGCGCGAAGGAGTTTTGCGTTTCTTCCAATGAGATGAAAGCCGATGGAGAATCACTCTGTCCCATCCCCCTTTCATATAATAAGAGAAGCGGGAGGGGAGGGTAGGGAGATACAAACTTTAGAAAAAGTAATGATTAAAATGAAGGGAACGATTGCCGACGGGAGACTGGGAGCGTCGCTTTGTAACTAGTGTCAAAGGATAGAGCGTTACATTTTTAAATCAACGTCTGTATTTCGTGAAAATCTCTTTTTTTTTCTACAGGTTCATCGGAGAGTGATTCCTTCGCACACTGTATATTCGGCAAACATCGAGAGAACACTTGCAAACATGTGTCACCCTGGTCATGATGAACTAGAACAGAATCAATTACACAAACTTGAGGCAAGACGAAGATATGAAAGACTGAGACAGCAGAGGAGCTTGAGATTGTAACCAAACACCTTACTGTGACCATCTGACTAAAATTTTCATGGGAATCTCCTTAAATAATTTTCTTTATCCAAGTCCAAAGAACTCAATTCAAGGCTTAGGTGATAGAAGTTCCTACGCTTTTTCGCTTACTGCTGAAGAAATCAAAATATGGGCTCAATCTTGTGGTTATGCAGTTTTAATACAACTGAGATAACGACTCTCTTGGCTATCTCTGGACACCTGTCGTGGTTTTTTGCTATTTGCATGTCAGCTGTTCAATTCAGGTTTCAGAAAAGGAGAACAAAAGCTTTTAATTATATTTCCTTGAAGTGAAGTAGTACTTAATTGAGCAACATCTCCCAATTTAACATAGCACACGCGAAAAGCGCCGAACGTGGTCGCATCGGCTCGGTGCTTCAATCTTCTTGTGTGACAATAATCTGTCACACAATCCTCTCGCGTCTAGTAACAAATAAACTGCCGAGGAAAGGGATGTAGATGGCTCGACGCAAAAAAAATTAAAACTTGTCGTCTGAACTTATGTTGTGCTGCGTCGGTGGGGTAACAAGCTAATTTGGTTATATCAACTAGGTTAAATTGTAAAAAGTTGACGTTTCGAGCGTCACTCGCTCTGACGAAGGGCTAACGCTCGAAACGTCCGCTTTTTAACTCTTTACGGTGGCCACTTTTCAATTTTAACTTAGTTGATAAAACCAAATTACCTTATTAATTGTTCAGCTCAGCGTATCTCACGAGAATGTTTCAGTGAAGATTGTTTTCAGTTCCGAGCCTCCCAAAGGCAATAGTCAGATCTCTGATTAACAGTAGGGTGTCTCGTGCCAGACTAGGAAAGGTTCTTGACTAAGAGGACTCAGAAAGAGAGAGAAATCATAAGAATTTTGGCGTTACGATCTCTCCATAACGCCGTTGTTATAGTTTTGCTTTTAAGGGCGGAGGAATAGCTGGCATAAAATTGATTAGATCTGCCACTCTCTTTGGATTAATTGAGGTAAATTGCCGACTGAAAAGCGAGTCAGCGCAAGAATAGGCCGATATGTGTGAAAATGTTGCTGTTGGTGTTCCCTGTCATCTCTAGATATCAACGAAATATTATCCTGTCTCTCTCCTCTTCATTCCCCCCTTCTTCATAAAAGTAGTGGTCTCCCGCCACCCCACAACCGCGTGTGAGCATTTATAGATGAGTCAGGCAAATCGTAGTTCACTCTCTAGCCATTTCTCTTTTTCCCACGACCTCTGCTGTTTCTCGTTCTTCCGCTGTCCAGATAGTCTCTTCTTACCGCGAGCCCAGCGCAAACTACCCTTAATGAAATGTCAATCCATCAGCTGAGGAATTTCTTGGCATATGTTCCAAGATCTCAGGAAGCGGATATAATAGAGTTCTTTCCTTTTCCGGTTCTTCCCCGTCCCCCTCAATCACCAGGATGCCTTTATAACCTACTCCCAACGGTTACTTTGGTGCGAACAGGAGGGGAGAGAGGCATTATGGGAGTCAACGAACGCCAACGCCTTTCTCTTAATGTAAAAGCGGAAGTAAACAGAATATCTGAAAAGCTCCAAGGGGAATTGATTTCTTGCAAAGTAACAGGATATGAATCCTCTCATGAGGTTTTGCTGTTGCGGCGATTCACATCGCTCCAAGGTCAATAGAACGCTTTTCTACTAAAACCGAAGAAATCAAAACAACCAAACCGGACGAGGTCAAATCTCATGAACAACAATACAATACAATAAGTTATTAAACTCTCCCCGGAAAGGCCTTTCAGAGCTTAAAAACTATCTTAATAATACAATTCTTACAATAATTACAATAACTACAGTAGGTGAGATAAAAATATAGGGATGTATTTATATCTATAAAATGTTAAAAATCAAAATGACTGACAGAAGATGATTTATCAGCTTACGTTAAAAAATGTTCGTCGAGGAGCTTAATTTTATATCACTGGGTAAGTTGTTCCAAATGGTCACTGCGCAGTATAAAAAACTTCGCTGACCCGTAGCAGTTTTGTAGCGCGGTATGTCCAGTGTATATGCATTGCGAGTCGAGCGGCAACAACCAATAGGAACTGAAAGTGAACATGTAAATTTTCTCGTTAGTTGGAAAACAATGTTATTGACCAAATTCTGACGTGGCACAGCTTTTCTAGACTCATCCCTGAGTGTACCGAAGCAAATATAATGCACTCTTTGTTTTATTTCCTGTTTTGAAATTACCCGCATTGCTTGCCGGATTACTATGGATTGGGTCTGGATTATTTTCTACACCTTACAAGTTAACAGGATCATTTTCAGACGACCTCCAAATTTTCATTTCGATTTTCCTTTTTGCTTTAAACACTTCCATAGAGCAAAAAGTTAAGCATTATTTCTAAGGAAGCGTATTGCTGTTCGATAAACCAAACAATCCTATCAACCTCTTCTCATTTTCCTTGGGTACGAGGTGAAATTTTCGCTGGAGGATGTGAAGTAGACTCCACAACGCAGTGAAATCTACCTGCATGAATATCGATCGAAATTTACGAGCGCAAAGGTGGATGGGAGCACAGACAGGAAAATTCAAAAGTATAACATTAATGTTTAAATAAATCAGACTGTTTACTTTGGAAGAATTTAACAATAAGGTTTTGATTTCCTCATGTGTTCTTGCCTCTACCAATGGTATGACCAGCAGTATTATCCATGAATCACTTTGCTGTTCATTACTCAAGATACTGCAGGTGTTCCTCAGCTAAAGGTATATCTCCCGCGAAGTTTTTTGTAACAATTAAAGGAATTCAATTACAATTCTCCAGAGATGTGATTTTAATAAGCGCCTTGTCTCGCTCATTATCTTTAACGATTTCTTATGCATCTGCAAAATTACACTTATCTCTTCATTCGATATCAAAAACTGAAACTATATCTGGGTTAATTCAAGGCTGCTATATTCTGAGAAAGCCATGATAGCAAGGTAAGCTAATGAACGAGAGAGCTTGGCATTGGTTGGGTATCTCATTAACAGCCCTTGATTAAAACGACTTGATTGGCATTCATTGTGGTATTCTTGTTCATCATTGGTTGGAATCAACGAGTGGTCTGCCCAAGAAATAAACGAGACTGCCGCCTGTCCTGTTTCGCTCTCCGATTGGTTCGCGAGACAATAGCACCTAATTGCAAAATGAAATCCGCGGCTAATATGCCCTTTATATTCTAATTGCCTTCAGAGTAACGAAGACTTGTCTATTGAAGGCGATTTTTGAACGAAAATTTCATCCTTGAACCCGAAACCAGCGTCGCTCGTCGGCGTTTGCGATCTGTAGATGTGTACTTGTGAAAGCTTTTGTCGTCGGGCGCGAAAAGGAAGCAAATTTGAAGCTTGGGAAGGAAATCCATTGCGTGAAAGGTAGTTATAATTTCCGATGAGTATGAGCTACAGACTGCGTGTTTGTCACTTCTGGTGTGTTGAATTCAGTCCGATTGAATTTGCTTTGTTGTCCTTGTTTCGATTGATTTTCTAAAAGATCACTTATCGGTTGAACGCTTCCGAACCAAAAATCGTATTTTATAGGGTTGACTGATATTCCCGGGAAATTTAATATTGCCTGCGGAAAATTTTGGCTGCGACCGAGTACAGTCGAGTAAATCGGTAGTCGTCCGATCGTGTTTTTTTTTTTTTTTAATCTCTTGGGAATGAAAGGCTGTTATTTTTCGGTGCTGGTGAGTCATTCGAAGTCTTACTCAACAGGTGCGAAAATTTACAATTTACGATGCGAAGCACTACTACAATTCATAGAACAATGTACTTTTTTCGCGTAAGGTTTATTTTCACCGAATCGTGGCGTGTGCAAGGTTTTGTTTTCAACCGCGTGACCATGCTTATTTGCTCGTGTAAGTCCGATAGAAAAGCCTTAATTCATGTGAGTATGTAAATCTTAATTCAGCACGACGAGACGGTTGAGTCGTTTCGTTGTAGAGACTGATATGTTTTATCGTAGAATTCAGCGCATGGTCGTAACTCCAAAGTCAGTCAACACATGTGGTATTTTACAGTTTGTTGTAAGAATCGAACATTTTGTTTAGGGTTGCCCTGCATGTGGTGATCAACATTAAAGGCAGTTTTTATTATAAAAAAAATATCTTATTTTTTTTTAAATAGATGTCTAGGGAACTTTGCTCCTTCGGGTTATCGAACATTTGTAACTTTTGAGTTTGACGTCTTTGTACTCGGGTTACTGAATTTGCGTGAAAATTACACTTTCAGCTTATTTATGCATGTGGATATTGGTGTAAATAGAATAGCAATTTTTATTTCAGACTTCTCGTAAACAGATCTTTTGCTGTTTGCAGTTTTCTGATTGATCTAAGTCCACCTTTGATGATTACTTATAAATACACATTTTCTATTCACTGAGATAAATCATTGGAGTGTCCTGTGACTCCAGTGAGTAAGAAAAATCAAAGGTCAACTTTTATACAGTTATTTAAAATCTAGGTTTGCCCAAATGCAGAAAACAGCTTTTGGTGATATGTTTTGTCATCATTGTGAAAAAAGCAAAGATATGGGCAAAATGAAAACTTATCTTGTCATTGATTTCATTATGTTTGTGTTTTTTTGAAGCTTACATTGTTGTTTTAAATGTTGGGTGATGCCCTTCCATAGATAAACTTCTGTCCAGTTGATAATTGTAAACCAAACAGACTTAGACAAGAGACCATACTCTTTATCACATTCGCAGCTTAATAACCAAACCTGATGTAGGGAGAAAGCAAATCAAAGGGAAGGTTTAGGTGAATAACAATTTTTTTGGGTGTTCCTCTAACATTCCAAGGAGGTCAATATGTTGGAAGAACAAGACAAAAGGAGTCTATTGCCTACAATAAATTAAAAGGCTGTAGTTTCCATAAGTTTACTCATTCAATTATGTATGTTTTCAGCCACTCAGAGCTCTTTTGGAATATTGCACTCACTCTGAGTTAAGCTATATCAATTTACCATTGGATTAATGATTTTCACAGCCCACCTCCCTGAACAAATATAGTGAACATGTGATAAAGGCTACTAAGAAAACTTGTTGATAGAAGTATTCCTCTCATTAACTGCCTAGCCAGAAATATGAAATATAGTTATGTTTGTTTAGCAAAGGATGTGTACAGTGAAACTCAATAATACAGTGTAGAATGATAATTGATAATCAGAGATGAGAGTCTTTTGAAATAGGTGGGAGTGGGGTGGTTATGTTTGTTTAGCAAATGATGTGTACAGTGAAACTCAATAATACAGTGTAGAATGATAATTGATAATCAGAGATGAGAGTCTTTTGAAATAGGTGGGAGTGGGGTGGTTATGTTTGTTTAGCAAATGATGTGTACAGTGAAACTCAATAATACAGTGTAGAATGATAATTGATAATCAGAGATAAGGATTCAAAGTATTTTGAAATAGGTGGGGGTGAGGTGGGGTGGGTAGGTAGTTTATACGCTAAGCTAAGGCCACGCCCCTTCTTAATTTCCCATTTATCCTTTGTATGGTTTGTTGGCATAAGCAATGCTTTCCTTTTATGCAATCTTGGCAGTGTCCAAGATTGCATAAAAGGCTTGTTCTCTTTTGTTTTTGCCTTTTGCTTTTTTCTTTGACAACATTATGGCAATTAGGTATGTGTATAAAGCCTTGGTAAAGTGTGTCAAAGTTACACCATGGTGAAATGGTGCATATACTGTGCAAAATATGATTTCTTATTTCAGTGGGTCAATTCTATGGTTGCAAACTAAACTTTGTACTAAATTCCTTCACTTTTAAAAAGAAATGAGTTCTCAAGAGGGAATCATCATAGTTCAAAATGCTGGCAGGGCGGATGAATGGTAAGAGCTTTGTAGCTGTCAGAGCTCTTATGAAAAGAATGCTCGAAACTTCAGCTTAAGCAACCCTTTATTGTGGCCAGTTTACGTTATCGACTCAGTCGATAAAAGCAAAATATCTTGTCATACCCCCACTGACACAACGCCTCAGTTTCTCTAGAAGCATATTCCTTCATTCCTTTGGCTTGATCTTTCTTTTATTTTAATTTATAACATAACCAAAGAAAAGTGCATGCTCTGATTCGTCGATTCAGCATCCACCATTTGCCCATTGGTGTATGCTGCTGACATGAGCAAATGCAAAGTCTAGTTTCTGCTTGTGCTTGTTTTTTCTGGTCATGTAAGATTTGTTAAATAGAAGCAAACACTTTTGCTACAATGTATCGATGTTATGTTATAAGACAAATGGTAAACACCACAGTGTACACTATTGAGTTATGGATGCACTTGGGAGGTTTGCTAAGCACTCAAGAAGCTAGAGTCACTCTCAGCTATCGCCTCATGCAACTCTTACGCTTCTTTTGTGCTTAGCAACCTCCTGCATGCATCCATAACTCAATAGTGTACACTGTGGTGTTTACCATTTGTTAATTGGGTTAAAAATTTTTGGTGATGATATGCCACCCACTCTTACTTCAACACTTCTCTTCTTTAGTAGGCAGATTTGTTTAAATTTACCCAAACACCTTTTTTGTATTCTTTTCAGTCGTGCATGAAGCAGATTTCATACAATCATGGAGTCAGCTCCTGTGACTGAGAACACTTATTCCACAACAGCTAATATGCAGACAGAATCTAGAAGTATTGTGAAGGAACCTAAAGCACCAGAGGGAACTCTACTACGTCAAGTTCAAGATGCTAAAGAAAGTATTACTGTCCTTAAAAATCAGGTCTCCTTTGCAAACCAGTGTCTTAGTCTTCTTCGAAACCAAATGAAGCATGCCTCAGACACCTTGAACATTCTTCAGGACCAAGTTGACTTAGCACAAAGAACTGTTAGCACTTTGACAGAAGGTAGTGCTACTGGATTGGCAATCCCACAGCCACAGAGTGCAGTGGCTACAGCAGGAGCAAGCAAGTCTCAAACATCGTGGGTTTCTCCTACTGAAACATCAGATGAACAGAAGGTGATTGTTCATGACAGTGAGGGTCCTAAGGTATACACTTTGAGCAAGTCAAGTATGTCGTTAGGCGATCAAAATGCCCTTGCATCAGACTGTGCAACATCGCATGAGCATGGTCAAGTGCCATGTGTTGTTCATCAAGTCCCTGTGCATTGTCACTGCCCAGCATGCCTTTCCCATGCAAATGTCCATCATGTTCCACCGGCATTTCATCCCCAATGTCATGCCTCTCCTGCTAGAGCTATCATCCAAGTAGGCCCAGATGTGCCTCCACCTCCACATCATGCTGCAAGCATGGCTTCTAGTCACGTGGTGGTGATGGAACCAACAAATGTTTCGACAAGCCTATCTCAATCCAGTCCTACCAGTAAAAGTGCATCTGGTCAAGAAGAGAGCAAAAACAGCTCAGGCGAAGATAGAAGTTCATCAAGGAAAGAGTCTGCTTCGACTTCTCCAATGGCACACCAGTTGCTTCAGGTAATTGATGTCTTGCAAACAGTCGATGATGAAGTTGGTAGTTCCTGCAGGTCTAGCACACTTTCCTCTATGTCTCGTGGTGTCCCTGTTGGTTATGCTACGACAGGTGATCACCTTAGCATCCCATATGGAGGTGGTGCTGCCTCTTTCCACAAGTTTTCACGAAGACATCGGAAGCAAAGCATAAGTCCCGCTAAGGTGATATCCTCTGAATCTCTGACATCAGTATTTCAAGAAAAAAACTCTTCAGGTAATACCTATGGTAAATACCGGTATGTATGTTGCTTAACAAGATTCACCTTGATGACTAACCATTCTTGAGCCCGGTCAGCACATCTTGTCACTGTAGCTGTTTTTACTGACCTGACTGTGGTTGGTTAAATAATTGTTACTGCCTGATATATATCACTCTTCAGCAGATAACTGTTGCAAGTCACAAATCAATCTATGATATCAAGTGGATAGTGATTCTTGAGGTAGATAACGTTAGTTAGCCTTTTAACAACTATGCTAGACCCAAAGTCTGCAAAGCCTTTTTCCATGATGGAAGTATTGAAGTTCAGGAAGTACTAACAACGGCTTGCATCACTATGAATTGACTTGGAAAATCACCGCGAAGGCAAAGATGCACACGACTGAAACTTGACAAACTAAATCTTTTTAGTCCTGGGCATTTTTCGGGTACCAAATGCAACTGTTTTTGCTATGTAAAACCCTGCGTACATCACTATTGTTGCGTAATTATAGTATAATGCAAAGTACTTGTATATCTAGCTTGGGTTACCTGTGCTGTTAGACAGATCAGATTACTTGTGATTGATCCGTATAGTTTGTTAGTTGAGAAATGTTTTTCAAGATTTGGGAATTTTCCTCGCCCTTGGATACATTCATGAATTAAACCTCGCTGGAAGTATGTGATAAGAGTGTCAAAAGTAATCTGGGATTGCTTTACCTTGCTCTGTGATTGTTCCTGAAAACTCGCGCCACTCTTTCTACCAATCAGAAGTAAAACTAACGCCAATCACGACTTACTCGCCCGTGTTTTCCCGCGCTTTAGGTGGTTTGTTTGTTTTAACTTTGAGTCCTTAATGGCTCTCCTCAGTATTTCCCTTTCTTCTGATTAGTCAGGTTTTGGTTTTGCGACAATCAATGGAAAAGCGCTCTATGACCCAAAGCAGCTATTGAGACTTGCTTTGTTTTTCTGTCTTTCAGTTAAGACTGTGCTCAGAGATCACTTAGAGTTGATGAGAGTGCCTGCTCCTGTACTAGCTGCTACCCTTGAGCCAGAGTTCCTTGTAGTTCCATCCAGTAGCTACTCCTATGACAGCCCACCAGCATCAGCGACTGATCGCCTTGGAAAAGAGGAAGACAGGAAGAAGAAAACAAAACCATTCACCGAAAGCTTATCGGCTGAGACGGTCGTGTCGTCGTCAGCATCGCGGGAAGAGACACATGTACCACCCGAACAGTCAAGCGGTGCTCCAGACGGAAAGGGAGTGTCGGAGGAGTGTAGAACCGAAGGATCGTGTAGGAGATTTGATGACAAATCGCAACCAAGTAGAGTTTCTAGTGATTCTCGTGGCTACGTCTCGCTTACGTCTTTTCCGGAGAAAAACCAACAAACAGACTTGCAGATTGACACAAACGGTCTTTGTTCGCCTAACAGGAGATTTACAGGAACGAGCCCTTTGAACTCAGATGTCGGAATGCCGTTCATGTGTCCCAAGACTGAAGCTATAAGTACTGCACTGAACAATACGACTGAGCCTGTGTCGTTGGCAGCGGTAGTCTCCCAATTGGAACATGCCCCTGAAAAGTCTCCAGTTTTGTCGACAACTTGTCACATGACTGCATCCCAGGCCCCACCCATGGCTGTTATCTCTTTAGCAAATAACGTTGAAAGCGCGGTGACGCCGCAAAAAGTCACGTCTCCAACGAAAAAACCGATCATTCTGTCGAGACGATCGTCTCGAAGTAGCGAACAAAACATTCCCCAGGGGCTCGTGGTACTCGTCCCCACGATAGAGGATGCCAAGCGCCTGATAGCATCCACAGGGGGCAGTTCAGACGGCCACACCCCTGTGTTAGTTCCTCAACATATGTTGAATGAGATTCACGCAAAAAACGCCGTTTCTGAAGATGATCGAGACGTGCAACGGCAAATACTCGGAAAGCGAAGTCGTGATATGGTTTCCCCTCCGCGTCCCCCTCCGCCAAAGAGATCGGCTGTTGATTCAGTTGTTATCGATTAAGATGCGTTTTGTAAATATAGGTTTATCGAGAAGAAATATTTATTTAAGTGTTGTAGAGAAACAAAATATATAGCATCTGTTGGAAACGTTAAGCATTGTTTGTGTCAATTTTCTGGGGCGGTTTATTCCCGAATTAAGGGATGTTAAGTGAAGTGTAATCTTTTGTTTCGCTAAGTAGTCACTTCCAATGTGGATCGCGTTGTTTCGAACGCGTATTATTAGTTGTATTCAAGCGACGAGGTCGACCGGATAGAGGTCACTTCATGAAGCACTGTGATCGGCCGGTTTTCCGCGGATATGATTGGTACATTTTTAACTTGTGTTAGTTAACAGTTGTTCAAAATAACAATTTCTAATCTCAGAATCAAAATATGCTGGGTTTTCAGCCAATTTCCTTCCCTTACTCAACAAACCCTACAGTACAGGGACCTAAATGACCCTGAGTATTAAGAAGATTATAATCATGTTCCCTACTCGGGTGTACTCATGCGCATTGATTCTTAATCATCGATATTGAATTTTAAGGAATTGTAAAATTTAAATGTACTGTTAGAAGATCACAAGCTTATCAGTTTGTCGGAAGTATACCAAATTGCTTGTTTCATTCAGGTAATTTCACATTCTCTAACCAAAAGGAACCAAAATTTTCATAACCTTGAAGGAAAAATGTTTCGAGAGTGGCCATGCAGGGCACTGTAATCGGTGAGCCTCGTAGAGACCACGGGTACTAGGCCTTCGCTCGATTTGTCTGAGTTGCCTTTAGTTCTCTTGATTTTTTCCTACGTCTTTGTTTTGACGTTATGCTTCATTCAGTTTCATTTCCTCTGGCCTAAAAAAGATTTTCTGCTATTAACAAAGTAATTTCTACAGTAACAGTTAACAGTACAAGGTGGTTCAGTAATTTATTAAAATATTTTCTGGTATCATTTGAGATGGCTCTGTCGCATAGAGCCACGAAGACGCCTGTGCGTCGTTTGTCTCGCTGCGTTTCGTTACATAAATGAACTGGAGCGACGACGATGGGGGATTTCTAATCGTATTCCGTCCCCTAGACACGGAAAGGTGTCTTGAAATTTTTGGTTCACCGCTTTGAAAATCGTCGACGGCACCCACACGATCGTGTTGGTCAAAACATGTACTGCTCTCAGAGCTGTTGCTGTGATGATGTAAATGATGTAGACAAGGGCTGCTATTTTGGTCCCAAACAAGACGATCGGCACAAAGACTCCCAGAAGAGACAACATCCCTACCGCAAGAACCCCGCCTTGAAACAGAAGAATAGAGAACAGTGCGAATACTGAAGATCCTACGACAAAGGCGAGGAACAAAAAGAACGGAAGGAAACCAGTTATGATGAAGGTGCCCAAGAAGACTGAAGCCACAGGGTGTCTCTGGACAAAGTGGGTGAATTTTCTCGCTTTGCTCATCGCCTGGCAGTTGTGGAGATCCCTCAAGTGGTCTCTCATGGCGTGAATGTTGGGGTCCAGCCACGGAAAGAGAAGATCGCTTTCAATCATCCCGTGAATAATCTAAAAAAGGAACTAGAAGATGCAAACGAAAACTTTCGAAAATTTCAAATGCAGAAATTTTTATGTGAGAAGTGAAATGGGATAGATTATGCAAAATTTAGGCAATTTAAGTAAGTGACCTCTTTTCTGGTTCATTACGATCATATCGATAAACTTAATTAAAATTAAAAGGTAGATCAGTATCGCAAGTTACATCTTCATTGATATGAAGATAAACTTGGGACAAAGCCAACCTTTTTTAAAAGTCGAAACTTGTCAGTATCTCGATGCGATCTATCTTAAACTTCGCCGACTTTGCTTGACCTTGGAAAACATAAGGAGCTTTTGGATCTCTTGTTTGTCGTCATCCCTCGTGGTTTTTCTGCTTCAGCTTTCTCTAGTTTTAAGTTTCTATTTTGATATTTCTGTCTATTATCTGACTTTGTTTTCAGTGATAATCTCGCACAAAACTGCATGACCTTACCCTTTCAAAAGATAGTTTATCGCGAGTAAGCTCACCAAATGTTAATTTTTCGTGGAAGTCTACTTACTTGTCCGTTTAAAATCCTTAAAGTCCAACTGAGTCATCAAAGGAGCAAGGAAGATAAAAGAGAGGGGCGAAAATTTCGAAGCTAAGTCCTACTTCTACCTGAATTTGGTCTTTTAAAATCACACAAATATGTTGATATCGCCCAATAGATGTGGAAGACCTTCTATGTAATTATCCTCGCGTAACAATTGTTTTCAGTTACGTCATAATGCTTTCTCTTCCTTGACGGACAAGTGCGAATACTAATTGTCACTTTTTGTTCTATTTCATAAGATTTAAAGAAAATTTATTATTTCTTACGCGAGAAATCAGGATTGTAAGCTGGAGACAATACAACCCGAACCTCCCGGGGCTTATGGTTGGACGGTGAGAGATTCTGTTAATCTTTTCCACAAAAATTTGCGCTTTTAGGTAGGCTCCAACTATTTGCTTTTCGGCTTAGTTTCTCGTGACCTTGGGCCGAAGTTACTCATTTTTGATTCCATCGTCAAACCCCTCAATTAGAATTCCCTCGACTCTTTCTTCACCTCTTTCCGACTGTTCCTTTCTCCTCCCTTTCTCCGACCCTTTCTCCTAGCTCCTGGATCTTCTAAGCTTGAATTGAGCCCGCGATCTCTTTATAAACCTATAGCGGTTTTGTTACCCATAAGGCCCCGCAATATCCCATGTATCTTTCTCTCTTTGCCTACATCCAAAATGGTGCGTTTTCGTGAAAATATATGTTGTAAACATCCTTTTCCATCGGATCCGTTATGGCCTCCGCGTCTCTACACAGTTTTCTTTAGTGGCCAAAAAGCTTGATGTACTCTTTGATAGTTCTATCTTGGCATTTTAACCTTGTTATAGCTGATTATCAATGTTAATACATACATTCGTAACTTCTGGCAACAGCTCCTCGTTGTGCGTAGACTTCGTGATGGAGTCAACGACCTTAGATATGAAATATATTATTGCGAAAAATCGGAAGTAATAGAACTTGAATTCTTTTTGCTGTTAATGGCCGAGTGTACTGTAGATTTTCCCTCGGAGGGAACTCTATGCAAATTAATTGAAGGAACATGAGCCAAGAGAGGGTGAAAGTTTATAGCTGAAGTACCTAAGTATCCATTCAAACGGAGTTTGCCTTGACCACTGAATACGCTGTTACATTTGTAGATTTATTTTTGTGTTACTGATTACGCGATAAGCAGATGCTAAGTACATTTTTATGTCTGTTAATACACTCTAGGTGAAGGTTAAAGCTCACGAACTTCGAGGGAAAAAGAAGGAAGAGCTTCTAAAGCAGCTCGATGAGCTGAAGAATGAGTTGGCTACTTTGGAAGTTGCTAAGGTGACTGGAGGGGCTGCCTCTAAGCTCTCCAAAATGTGAGTTGAATTGAATTTGTAAACCAATTCCAATTTGTTGAACCTACAATGTCAACATAATTTTCCAAAAACTAATACTGTTTGAATTTGGAAAGCTGTTCTTACGTCTTCTTGCACTAAAGCCAGATTTGAATAGTGAAAATTTGGTTAATAGTGTTTTTTATCACCAAGTATAATTGTTGTGGTGAATGAAGAGATGTGCACACTCTGATCGGTCAAGGATTGCATCGTATCTTTTTGTAATCACTTTGTGTGAGGTGATTAAAGCAGAGGGCCAAATCTCATAGTGGGCACCTTATATTTGTAATGTTACAGAGGAGACGATAAATATGATAGAAGAAATTTCAATTCTGAAAAGCACAAATGATACTACTAGGTTTAGTGCGATGATTTTCTATTTAACAATTGGTTCATGCTTTAGCGTGCACTATCGAGTTATGGAGCACGCGGGAAGTTTGGAGAGCACGAAAGAAGCGTAAGAGTTGCCCGAGGCGATAGCCGAGGGCAACTCTAGCTTCTTTCGTGCTCTCCAAACTTCCCACGTGCTCCATAACTCGATAGTGCACAGCTGAAAGCATGAACCAATTGTTTTAGAACATAGCCGGTAGAATTGTGCATCAAATCCGACGGGAAAAATGGACAACAATATCAGTTGAAGCGAATCGTGACGGCGCTGATGCCGAGTCTCCTTTTCCTTTGTTTTTCTCTTTTTCTGCCTCATTTAAGAACTCTAGCCCAAGGGAAAAGGTCCAAACATTGTCTTCGTTTTCGGACTAGTAGGCCGAGTTTCTGTTTGTATCCATTATTGTCGCGAAATATATTATTTTTCCCGCGCTAACAATCGGCCGCTCGCGCGAAAAAAAAATTTCTGGCGAAGCGATTTGCTGACGCTGTCAGCGTGCACTATCGGGATTTTGAGCACGCTTACAAATATTGAATTTGATTGCGCGGTTCTGCTAGCTATGTTCTAATTGTGGATTAAATTAAATGAAACTGCCCAGTTCTAGTGGAAACTAGCTGCTTATCTAGACACAAGTAATCAAAACAACTAAAACATAATGGTTTTAGAAAACAAAACAAATTTACAGCAGCCTTAGAAATCATGTGAGTAATTATACTAAAACAAGTTTTTGCCTGAAGCACAGTGAAAATTGTTGAATAATCCTCTCAACTTTGCCTCATGGAATTTTCAACAATATTCACGTCGCATTGGGCAAATAAATGTTAAAAAATCTCCTTCACTTTATTTACTATTACTGAAAAACTGGTTAACAATTGAGTAATGGGGAAGCCTGCTTGCATGACTTTCTGGAAGTCTCATGGCAGTTGATTTTTCAGTGCTATTGGACACCATTTTTGTGCTGGTGGTAGTCTTCTTTTCATTAATGTAGAGTCAGTAAAGTTCAGTATAAAATGAAGCTAGAATCCCTCAGCCCTTTAACCCCTCAGAAAGACTGTCTTCTAATTTCTCCTTGCGATACCACCCTTGAATCAAATATACAGGTTGGGAGAGCAAAGGAAATGATCACCCATTTATGAACTGCTGGTTGTCAAACAAATTCTTCTAGCCAGTACTGTAGGAAGGATATAGAGAACAGTTTGGAGAATATACATACTGATATGAGGGTGTAAAGGGTCAGCTATTTTTACCCTCCATTTAAATGCCCAGAACATTTGTTGGATTATATGTTTGTGAATTGTTGTAACCGCTGTGTTTAATCTCTAACATGATTTGGAGTGAGTTGATCTCTAACATGATTTGTTAGTGAGCTTCTATGCGCTAGCTGACGTTTGGCTGTGTAACCGCGTGATGCAGTTCCAGTCAATACCCACTAATTGAGCCTTGCTCACCATAGAGTCTCCTGTAGCTCAGTGGTTAGAGCATCCGACTAGATCACAGAGGGTCGTGGGTTCAAATCCCATCTGGAAACTCGATTTTTCTCTTATGTACGTGAAAAAGAGAAGTATTAGAAATTGTTTGGATGTACATTGTCCAGATCAAATTGAAATTAGTTACCCCTTTACACCCTGACATCAGTATGTACAGGGATCAATATTCATTTTTTTTCTGAGTCGTCAGCCGGGCGAGTAAGCCTGATGGCCTTCTTGCCCGGTTCCAATTTGGGTCGTCCGGACAAGAGTGCAGAATTTAAGAAAGAACGGTGTTAAAATTGTGTGTAACTTCAAGAAGGTACAGTTGCATTTGCTTTCGTAGGCAACGGTTCCTGTTTGAGCTTCACTTGTTTTTTTCTTTTTTTTGCCGGAGGCTGTGATACGCCTGTAACAAAACACCACATCGTCACTTTTACATTTTCTGCAAATGGACTGCTCTAAAAGCGCCAGCGGTTAACAACATGAAAATTGAGCCTGCGATCATTTCATGGAAACACTGCACTATCAAAGATGGCGTCAAAACTTACGATCTCATTTGAGACAAAAAGTTGTACGTTATGCTCCATTATTCTTGGCGCTTTAAAAACAGGTAGAGTGTACTTTAGAAAAAAGAACAGGAATTTTTGGAAATATTTTGTGGTTGAGCAAAACCCCACTCGTCCAATGGACGACTTTTGCAGTTACCTCAGTTGTCTGTGCCAGATTTTAGTTGTCTGGGACAACCAGACGACCTGGAATATGGATCCCTGTATGTATATTCTCCATGCCGTTCTCCATACATTTCCTAAGGTGCTGACAAGGAGAATTTGGTGAACAATCAGGAGCTTCTTGAGTTTGTGATCATTTCCTTTATTCTTGTGACCTTAATGTGTGATTCAGGGGTGATATTGTAAGGAGAAATTAGATGCTGGTCACTCTAAGGGGTTAAAGGGTCAATATATTTGGAAAATCGCTTTAACATGTTTGACATACATTGGAGAGAACTTTCATTAGATTTTTGTTGCTTTTAGATTAGCATCTTTACCTGTAATGACTTAATGTTTTGGTAACAGCTGCGTTTCATTATGATTGTGATGTTAATGCATTATTTAAAACAGATGTTTTAATGACTCTAGGAAGTATGATTTTACTTGTTGAAATTGAATATATTTTTTTAGTCTTAGACTTTTGCTTAATTTCTTTAATTCACAAACATTATCTAATTACTGAGAATCATTTAAACTTTGTTCAAGTGCTGTGTAGAGTTGTTGATACCTAACCAGGAACATGTCTCTTTGCAGAAAACTTGTTCGGAAGTCTATTGCTCGAGTGTTGACTGTTATCAGCCAGACTCAGCGTGAAAACCTGCGCAAGTTCTACAAGGCCAAGAAGTATAAACCTCTTGATCTCAGACCCAAGAAGACCCGTGCCATGAGACGTGCCCTTACCAAGCATGAGGCATCCCTTAAGACCAAGAAGCAGCAGAAGAAGCTCACACACTTCTCACTGAGAAAATATGCTGTAAAGGAGTAACTCACTGCTTGTCAATAAATACCATGTACAAATAACAAGATATTTGGTTTGTGTTTTGTGCTTGTAGTTTACTCTATCGTTTTTGCAAATGCTCTTGTAAATTTGGTACTGGCCTTCTAAGCAGGATGTTTTACTGCTTTAAGGGTAAAAATGATCCTATCATTTTTAACAGGAGTTTTGCCATGTCATGGTTATTTTTAAGGGATTTACAATGGATGTCCATTCTTTTTTGGCCAGAGGTCAGCAGCTCCCTTTTATTTTGCAATTTTCTCCATGGGTGTCAAGAAGCTTGAGATAGCTTTAACCCAGGATGTAATAGAAGTAAAGGTGAAATATATTTTCTGTGGCGGTTTCCAGGTGCTATGATCAGCATCGGTTAAATCATGGGAAGTTTTTGATAAATTGCTTGTAGAGTGGAAGTCTGCGAAATGAAATATTCTCTTACAAGTCACTTTGATTTTTACTTGAGGCGAGTTTTCCAGAGAAAAAGAGTAACTCACCCATCAACTTTAGAGATGAAATTAATCCCAAATTATTTTGTGGTTTGCACTCTCTTTTCCTTATTAGAGAAGTTGCCTGGGCAAGGAATGGAGAGAAATATTGTAGGAACAGTTTCATTTCCTTTGGTGGTCAGCTATTTATGGTACACTGTGTGACCTATGTTTTTTTACATTTTTGTGGTTAAAACCAAAATTGGCCAAAGTGATCTACCTATGAATAATTCTCTGCAGTTTAATAATAATAATAATAATAATAATAGTTTAATAATTCTCTGCAGTTTAATGAGACTCCTGAAAGATAACTGGTCTACCACTTGCTTGCTTTTATTTTCTCATCCTTGAGTGCAATCACTATCATTTTTATTCTCTGGGCAGGACATTTATGGTTAGAAACTTGGATACTCCATGGACTAAAAATGTTGAAACTTCCTATTTAATTTGTTGTCTTTTAGCTGACATAACTCTTGATCTCTTGTCTTGACAAGATTATCCCAGTTACCACTGTCAATTTTTTCCAGTGTGACTACATGCCCTTCAAGGGTTTCCTGGATTTGGTCACAGATTGCCATCGAGTTTCTGCAGTAGTTCAAATTTTCCACAAAAGTTTCAAGAACTAGTTGGGATAACAACAACAACAAAAGGATGACATTGTTCAAATACTTTTCAATTGCTTTTCATGTGCCTTGCAGGTGCATATGTAATTTACATACTAAAATATGTGTGAAAATAATTTGAAGACCGGATAAATTTCAAGAAAAGTGCAATTTTTATGTCTAGGGCTTATTTCAAAGAAGTTACTTTTTGTCCACACACAGTGTCTAGCACTCATATTTCCACTGTCTTCATATTGTAGACTTGGACATAACCAGCTGGTTGCCACCTCCATGGAACGTGGTTCATCGTAAGATGATGTTGATTGAAACCTTTCAGGTTCTAGTGATTCTGTAGGTAAGACCTTTGTGTTCCTCTTGCTTGAACTTTGAACATGAGTCCACGGAATACAAGCCAATGTCAACATCTATCAGAAAACTTTGTATCTAGTTATCCACCATGAAGAGTAGAAATGAAAACAATGCTATCATTTTCTTGCAACTCGTAGTCCAGTTCACCCTGCAAAGTAATCAAAGGAGGGGAATGCATTATTGTTACCAGGGATAAGTGCTATACTTACTCTTAAGACGTATGATGCACGATCCTTGCAGTAGAGAAAGCTATTTATGCTATAGCGAAAATCTGACCTGAAAAAAATCAGGTCTGTACGGGATTCGAACCACTGACCTCTGCGATACTAGTGCAGCGCTCTACCAATTGAGCTAACAAGCCAACTGGGAACAGGCCTTTAAGTTAATTCGTAATAAATTCGCTGCACTAGTATCGCAGAGCTCAGTGGTTCAAATCCTGTACAGGCCTGATTTTTTTCAGGTCTGATTTTCGCTTTTATTATCAAAAAAAAATTTCTGG